TTTTCATGGATTTTTGGGCCTCGGTCAACAATTCGGTCCCTGTCTATTGTCAACGAGCTGTCCTCCTCTAGAACTCCTGTAAATTGAAGCTTTCCTCTTCTGAGTTTTTCCTTGCCATTTTAAAGCCTTTTCCTTGCTTGATTACTTCTTGAATTGTCTCCGTTCTGTGCTTTCTGAGACCTCGAAGTTGTTTCTTTGTTATGGTTTTGCTCAGTTCTGCTGTTTCAACCTTTTCTCGAGCTTATTTTGAGGAGAGATTTTCCATGAATTCTTTGTTTTCCTCGAGTTTCATATATAGCTTTCAAATATTCGCTTTGACGATGTTTTAGTAATTCATGCTGAACTTGCATAAAGAGGTTTTAACTCCGCAAAAAAGGCTCGTGCCATTTTATTGTCCTTTCTTTCATTTGCTTTGTGTTCGCGAGGTAATAATCATAGAAAAGCCAACAGTGTTCCTTAACAAACAAAACTAATTGTTCGTTCTCTTTTCAATTATACACATTTTACGCCAATGTTGACTCTTGAAAGAATACATAATTTCTTAATAATGGTTTATTTGACTTTAGTCTATTTTTCATGATTTTACTACCGGACGACATTTATTCATAGTAACGCCTTTTGATACAGGTGTACCTCGTTCTAATTGCAACTTAGTTATATTTTATTGCAAAAGTATATTTCATTAAGTTGTTAGTTAAGGAGAGGTGATAATCGAATTTTGAATATGAAAGGTTTTTGCTGTCCTGTAATTTTAAAAATAGATCGGTTTTTGTTTAAGGTGAAAACTTCCAATTAGTCTGCGCTTTTCCTGTTTAAACAGCCGATAGCTGAACTTGCAATTTAATTCATATTGTAACACTTTATACATAAACGCTGTTTTGCTGACCTGGCTAGGTCTTTGTCTCAGTACTTTTACTTTCTAAAATAGCAACAGTAACAAAAGATTTCAGGTTAAAAATAGAATTTGTATTTGGTTTTCATTTAACTCTAAGTGATTTCTGTTTATATTTCTGTTGTATTCTTTTGTCTTCAATGGTTGTAAAAATCATATATAAGTAAGTTGCTTTGAACTGATTTTTCGATTACATCGCCGATTATTTCGCCGTGTCCCAGCCGAGTTATTGCTGTTTGATCCGCTGAAGAATAAATGCTGTTGGAACCTAAGTTTAGTTCTGTTTTATCTACTGTTGTACCAGTTAGTGGTCAGATCCCGGTCCTACGGAGAAGTGACGGCTCTTCCCCGCAAGCGAGTTGCCATTTGAGTCTAGTTTTCCCCAGTTTTATCGTGAGTCAAGCAAAAGGAACGGCCGGTGTTTCGTTGAAGTAGTTCATGGAGAGAAATGGGCCAGACCCTTCCACGTGCTGGCCCAGTGCTGGTTGGCAGGGGTTGGTGTGATCGTAGTCTGGGGTCTCGAACCCAACCTTTTCCAACATCGTTGAACGTGCTTAGCATAGGCATTTGTAGGAAGTCTCACAAGATATCATCCTCCAGCGTTACTAGCAGGCAGTGGAGGGATTGTCCCTGCCGTAGGACCATTGGTAATAGAATCTCCAAAAAAAGCTGTTCAAAAATTCAAACGTGGAAAATCGTGGACAGAAGCAGGCAATACTACGAAAAGATATAAAAAAGAAACCTCAGGAGAAAGCAGTGTTCGTTAGTAGAACAATGGTGGAAGAGCCGCCAAACGAAGACTGACAACTAAAGTGAAAAGAGTCAAAGATATTTTCCAAGTAGACCAGCACTCGTCACTCACACCCCACTAGCATTTCTTCGAGCACTGCGCATGCCTTTATAAAAAGTCATGAGAGGTCTTAGGTCAGCAAAAAGGATGGTGGTTGAATGCCTCCCTCCCCAAACCCCCAATTTGCAATGTGGTCAGAATGGGAACCATCGAAGAATACGTGGACCTAAACGGTAGTCGCACATGTCACGTGGTAATATATTTCCGCTTGTATTCTTCCTTTACAACCCAGGTTACAAATGGTGTGTTCGCGGACGCTGTTTCTGATGATGATGACACAGCCTGGGCCACAGTATAGTCAAGCAAATGACCTTCTGGTTCACTGGCGCCTGATGACCGAGGAGACGGATGCGTATGCGTATGATGCTTACTTACGAACGTTGCTGAATAATGCCAGAAACGAGGGAGAAGAAACCATGAATCCCTAAGGATGGATCAAAAACCTTAATGCAACGCCCCAGTTGGCAGCAGCTGGTGTAAATGGCGACATATAGACGACAACCGGTTGGTGATACAATCAGACAAACCCTCTGAAAGAATTCACAGGTTAATTTAGGCAAAACAATCAAATGGATTTGGTCATAAGGGATACAAAATAGACTGCAAACAGTCCGAATTTTTGCGTATTCAAGTACGCGCGAATAGTCAAAGAAAGGGTCTGGAGTGAGGCTGAAAACAGACCGCAAGACTGGGAACGGGCGTGTGAGGCGCGTGCGCTTCGCGCGCGTGAGACTCTTACGCTATTCTTACACTACGCTAAAGCGATTCTGAGTAAAAAACCCGACATGTTTCGCAGTCTAGATACAAATAGGACTCAACATTTACTGGCACAGCCTAACCTACGTCGCAGAAGTAATCTAAGACTGGATGGAAACGTTTGTGAACCAGGGCAGAGATCCTTGTTTTAAGCCCCCAAGAGACTCAACGAATTACTGCAAGACGTAAATACTGGTACACACGGGCGGGGGCCAGAATAATGATTTCGGCGCCGGCGCGCAGACAGACTTAATCATAGGTCTAGTTTCGTCTGCATGTGGTGCAGGCTGGCACAACCCATATTTGTCACCTTTGAGACCAAAACAAGTGAAACAGGAGTTAAAGGTATGGTGTAGTTGCGACACGAGGATATGGACATGACTTTTTACATGTCCAGGAGTAAACTCTCAACAGTGACACTCACGCCGAATTTTTCATGAGACGAACCTAGTTCGAATTAGGGCCCAGCCAAATTCCTTAGACCGGCTAAATTGATTCATGTGACGATCTTAATTCAAGCCGAACTAAATTCAAAAGGAGAAAACTGCTCATTTCGGTCAAACTGCTTGCAAAATACGTTACTGACCGTTACTACAATTTATGCATTAGGTTAGGCACATGGAAGGTTCGGCGTCTGAATCAAAGCGGCAAAGTCGTTGCGCCGTCGAAATTCCCGGCCGTGCTAGGCGGGAAGAACAGCTGTGCCGTTCTAAATTGAAATGGGCGTTCCTAATCGATTCAGACGCCGAATTTTTCATGTACTTAATTCAATGAATATTTTCATCTTTGCATGAAACACTGCGCCCCTCACCGTAGGCAACATTTCCATGAGGAGAGAGCCCGATTGAATAGCTGTCATTATACTACGAGGTGGGAAGTTCAATGGAGATGTGGAATTTTGCCCCTATTCCTTCCAATGGGAATCTTGCCCTTTGCAGAATACGGTCACGTATATAGTAGTACAAAAACAGAGATCATATCTCATCAAAAAAAAAAGCTAACATCCTATCTTTTCAATGTCCCACTACGTCGTTAAAACAAAACCTTCGCACGTGCACCACGCTTTTATGTACATATCTTTCCTGTTTTACACGAATACGACGTGAAAATGCCTAATTTTGCGTTTTATGGAGGACGTAGGTAGGTAGGCAGGTAGGTAGGTAGGTAGGTAGGTAGGTAGGTAGCAACTTTATTTAATGAGGGTAACACATGACAGTAAACACTGATGAACTAGTGAACAAGCAACGACGAAGTCTTATTTCCACTTTCTGAGCTTGGCTACGGTCTCTTGAAATTCAGCTTCAGGAGGGTTAGTCTACATTTGACAAAGTGGGTAGGAATAATCGCTTTTAGGACTTAAAAAAAAAGAACTCCTTTAACTGAAGACATTTTGGCGCAGACTGTGATCCATTCCACGCTAAAAGCCCGGGCTAGAGACGAAATGCCACGACCTCAAGCCACCAATATTGTCAACTTAGAACTCGCAGGACAGCTGGGAGAGTATTGGTTAAAGTACAGAGTTCAAAGTTTATTGAGAGATTTTGCAAAGTACACAGACGACAACATTAGCCCGAAAAAGGACACAGACAATAACATTAGCCCGAAAAATAGCGAGAGCTAATCTAGGCGGGTAGTGGGGAGACTTTTTACAAAGTAAAGTAGTAATAAGTTTTACATAATTAATAAGCCCAGCATCTATCTACTCACTAGAGTTACTCAAAAGACGGAAAGACAAGAAAACCTGTTTGGAGTGTACGAACATGCGCTCTATTTGAGAACGGAAAAGATGCCTGTGAATTTTTCGATATCCAGTTATAAACTATTACCTCGCCTTTACCACACCCCATTTCTAAATTAATGGTCGTTGCAGTGGATGATCTTGTATTCCACTCGACCCATCCAGCATATCACGAATGTAACAATCACAAAGAAGATGCAGTCATAACCGATTTAATACAACAGGAATTCTAGAAAGGTTCACTACAATGTACAGCCAGAGAACATGTTTGCAATGTGAATGCGATAGATCACAAAACGGATTTTAGAAGGGCTCTAATATAGTATATCCTAGTACCTTGCTATTCGTCAAGTCGACTCCAGATCTCTCGACTAGAAGCGCCTAATATCAAGGGAAATTGCGCCATGCTTTTCAGGGTAACTTTTATTGTTTTTCATTGCACATTTACACGATAACAACACAAAGCATATGAACTACTAACGGCATTAACTGAAGGTCCTTTTACTTGGAAATGTCAGAACTGGATACAACGAAGAGACTCTCCAAATGCTGTAAGCTTACTCAAAAGATATTCAGTGAAACGAAGTTAGCTATTCCAAATTGACTGTTGTAGTTGTTTTGGTGTGACATTAAGCAACGTTAGCATTTTGGTCGCAGCTACGACATAGGGACCAAATACTGTTTTTTTTTTGTCACTGTTAACAACCTTTCACATGAACGTCTCTTTTGTTATAGTCTGTTAAACGCGCTGGCCTTCAAGAAAATTAAACATATTTATCCTTGGCAATGACTTCAACATCTGCAGGTGAAAACTCTGTCATCATCTCTTCCTCGACATTTTCTAGTGACCAGTCATGTGTTACAATCTCTAAAGCTTCCCATTCCGCCTATAAGAAAGTACACGAACAACATTAGAAAGCCGGTTAAAAACCTCAAGTTACCATCGATTATTGTTAAAGGATAAAAAACGAGAAAGATGAAAAATGTTCGTAGTGCGTATGTTTTGAGTAAAACGTTATTAACGGATTTTACTTGGTGCTTGGGATTTATTACAGATTGCTACGTTTACAAATATACTATGCGAGTAATGGGGAAAATATCATAAAATCAATTTGGCTCTTTTCCTGAGTGTTAAAATCCCCCGCAATGAAGCTGATCGATCGTTATTCTCCTCTCGTGACAGGAGAGGTTAGTTTTATTTTTGTTAAGCCCTTTTTGTTTTCTCGCCAAGAGAATGACTGTTTTAAGAGTTACGTTAGTCGTCTTTGACGAATGAAGTGACACTTGTTAACTGTAATTTTAGTTAACTAATTTTAACTTGTAATCCTATGATTTTTCTATTTTTGTTATGGTTTTGCCTATGGTCAACTTATGGTCAACATACCCCTTCTCCTAACATTTAATAGGCCACTTCCGAGTTCCAAAAACCCTCACTTTCAAAATGAGGCTAGGTGCACAACCTTTCTTGTGAAAATGAGTTTTATTTGCATGAGAAAGAAAAATGATTTCCATATCAAAGGCTGAGCACCTACCCTCGTTTTGAAACAGAGGCCCGGGGGAACTCGCAAATGGGCTATTCGGTGTAAAGCGTGTTCCATCATCTCCGCGATGACATTTCTTTAATGAAAGTATGTTAATTAGAGTTTTTGATAGATGACAAAGCCTTGTTAGTATTGCACACTTTGTTCAGTTTTGACCTCAAATTGGCCCTTTGTCTAAATTATCCAAGCAATGACTACCTTACTCATTTTAAACCATTTTTGGCGTGTTTCGGATGAATTTTCACCCGAATTCTTGGCAGTGGATAACTTTAATTAGACTTAAGTGATTTTCTAGGCGTTTTTGCAGGTAAACAACTATTGTTCTAAATTCTGCCTTGCACTGTGAACTGCATTTTTAATTTGTCCTCTGAGCTTTTCGATCACGTCCACGGTTAATTTATGGAAAAAGTTTTAGCCAATCACTTCCGATGAAGAAGCTTAACACCCTCTGTAAATCGACTACAACCTTAGATTTTCAAACTCCAAATTTGGTATTTTCCTTTCTGTTTTTATCAAATATTTGTATACAAGCAGTTACTAATTTAGTAATTTTTATATTGATCACCTCGTTTTATATTGCCTGGACAACAAAAACTTCATAGTGAATTTTCGGGTTAAAAAATCATTTTGACAAAACAATTAACTCGAATGTTCAATGTAAATTAGTCTGCTGTAACCAATCACAGAAGACTTATGTCATCATTAGTTTATTACAAGCAGCGGGTTGTTCGGTTGATATAAAAATGGGTGTAACACTGATTAGGCAGAGAATTGTGAAACAGAAATTGGACTAACTTCGTGACAATGGACTAAACAATAAAGAGGAACCAATTGAACAAGATTATATCATCTGTTTGCTGAGAACCCAGCTAGTTCCCCCACAAAAAGTTCTTTAACAAAGATTAATTAAATGTCAGTGTTTGGTTTGACTGTACAATCCAAATACTGTCTAAGCTTTCTTAACTGACACAGTGATAAGCGACCAGCTACAGATGCGGACACTTCTTCTGTTTCACGTGGGTGAAGGTTTAAAGGCACTTGAACTTCGACTGTAATTCATTGCTTCAGGAATCCCAACAATCAGGCCATTTCCGGGTTTCCCCGGGCCTCTGTATCAAAACGAGGTTAAGTGCTCGGGCCGTTTGATATGGAAATGATTTTTAATTCTCCAGCAAATAAAACTCATTTTCACAAGAAAGTTGTGCACTTAGCCTCATTTTGAAAGAGAGGGTTTTTGGAACTCCGAAGTGGCCTATTTCGATATACACGACTTAGATTACTGCCACAGAAAATACAAATTACCATAGAAATATTCGCAATGCCATCAAAAAATAAGAAGAGAAAAAAATAATACAGCAATATCATGATACAGACATTACATGCAATTGTTCATAAACTATAGACTTAACAGTAAAGTGTGAGGCATACGAAATTTAATAGAAGGAAGCGTATTGTTTAATTTACACCTACAGATAAACAATTTAGTTGCCAGAATCAGATGACTGGGAATGAAAAATCATCTCCAGTGTTAAAAACTCCACACAAAATATGCATTGTTGTAAAAGATTGTAGTGTAACCTCACATTCATGAAGCCAAGAGCAAAACATTTCCCAAAAAGTATCCGTCACATTACAATGAAACATTAAATGTTCAATGGATTCCACTTCTCTTTTGCAAAATGTACATAACGGCGAGTCAAACGTGTACAAAACGACGAAAATCAAGGGCCTACCTCGATTGGAGACAAATTCAGCTATTTTCAAAACGTGATCACAACGGCACTTCATTTCAGTCATCGCCGAAAATAAACCGCATGCTAATCAAGTGACAATTCCTTTCTTATTCAATCCTCATTTGCATACAATGAAAGTTTACAAGAATCGACGAACAGACCAATAAAATGGAAGTGCCCACTTACACCTTGTAAATACATTCACGAGGTAAAAGGCAGACATTTTTTTCTATCCTTCTCTGTTAGGAGCAGAATACGTTTTCAAGTCACTACCTTGGGGTGTGTCACTTAGGAGGTCCCTCCCCTCCCTGTTCTTTGCCATTTGACCTCCGCAACGCTCCTTTGGCAAGGTTTTTTTTCGTCACCCCAAATCTCCACCTTCATCCAGTAAATGCTGTCACTAATAACTACATGAAACATCATTGTCCCAGTACCCTGCGAGCAGAGGCTACATTTTCGCCAGCTCATACCGCGAAAATGTAGCCTCTGCTCGCAGGGTATTGTCCCAGTCGATTGCTGGGTTCGAAAGACCCGCGCTACCTTGATTTCCTATGGTCAGCGATAATTGGGAAGAGAAAACACATCGCCCGTGGGGACAGAGATGGGAAAAATACATTTCCAACTTCCGCTTTCCTTCTGCAGCAACCTCCCCCCACCCTTTTAACATGTTGAGAACAGTCTTCATGAAACACGTCAAAAATAATTTGTGCATACCTTGAATGCTTTGCTGGGATCTTGTGGCATCTGCATCTGCATTTGCATCTGCTCCTGCATGACACGGGTTTGATCTGCAGCTAAAGATACAAATAAAATGCAAACATAATTACTACAGGTAGTCCTATAAAGATGTATAATGAACTTAACTGCAGCTGCACTGTGTGTGATGCGCAAGTGTATCCAATGGGTTGTTTTAGAAAAGGGAGACATCAGCCCTCCTTTCTAGGAGTTATTTAGTCCCTACAAAGTTTACCACAAGATCTATTTACATGTACTTCATTTCTCTTCAGGACTTTTCGTTTTAACATTAACTTGTAACTGAGGCTTCTATACGTTTATATCATGACCATCTGGCCCTAGCAGTATAGGGAGCTTGATGCACAATGAGAACATAAAAAAAGCAACAACAACTCTGCACTTGTAGCACGCTTTTTTGTATATTTCTTTGCCTTCGATGCACGACTACAACGTGAAAATGCATAACTTCACGTTTTATAGAGGACGTTAACAACATACGACGAAATTTTCTCTTTGTTCTGCACTTAGATGTTGTTATTAAGAATTCGACTCCAGGAGTATTTGCCTACATATCAAGAGCAACAAAAGAGGGAATGATTAGTGTCAGGGGCGAAAAAATTGGCGTGAAAAACGCTGAAAGTTCCACTAAACATCTACAGCAAGAAAATGTTGAAAACATGCCACAAAGCAACAACAAAAAAAACTTAAGGACTGGATCTTAAGCCATGATGTAGTACGCTGGGCTACTGACTGCTTAGGGGTCAGCCTGTTTTTTTCTGTTAAAAATAAATGGTGTCAGTTTGACACACCCCAAATGGGGATCTTGAAGCACTACTCTACTCGAAGTCACTGGAGGCTTGCTGTTAAGGCTGATACTCAAGCGAGTGAGGAGAGGGCAGAGAGCGCAGGCAGATGAGAGCAGCATCAGTACCAAAAGAGCCAACAATTGCAACAAAGCCTGTCGATCCAGAATCAGACTGTACAGCCACAGCAGGCGCTGCAACTCAACCACTGACTAAACCCCGGCACTGATTCCACTGTCTCCCGAGACAGATGGATGCCAACAGCAACAACAACTCGGGAGTAGTATTTTGAGTTCCAGCTAACTACCTAGTGTTTGTGTGAACCGTATCAAGGCTTTTCTTCAGATCACGTCTACCCAAACCAGTAATTTAATAGTGCCTTTTATATGCAATGTAAGGTAAGGACTTAACAACACCATTAAGATAAAAAGTACAAACCATTATCTTGACCCAACACCAGTGCATACATGCTCCTCAGTCCAAACACATTAATGAAATACCAAGACACTGAACTAACCCTGAAACACAAAATACACCAGAGAGTGTGTAACATATTCCTCACTTTTAGATAAATCTCCTTACATAAGTGTACAAATCAGCAGCGGAAGGGCTGTCACTAGAAGCCAGGAGCTGGGGATTTCCCCCAGCTACTATAAGCATTACCGTACCTCCAACCACTTTCAAAGGAGACACAAGTACAATAGAAACAAAATAACTTCCTACATTGTAGCACTTCAATTCCCCAGGTCTAATCTGCAGGTTGCAGGAGTGAATCCTATGGAGGTCAAAAAATTTTTCTTTGTCTCATGTTGTCCTCTAGTTCCTTTTACTGGGGTTAACTCTCGGTGGGAATTATGGGTTTTTTGCACTTTTGCAAGTTTCACTGAATTTAACCCATTCTCACCTTGACTGCCCATAAGTACCCATGGTACGTATAGAATGCTGTGCCACATAGCAGTGAGTTGCAAAGTATAAAAAAATGATGGAACAGACAATAATTACTGTCTATTCTATGGAAAAATGATGGAACAGACAATTATTATTGTCTATTCCATCATTTGCAACTCACTGCTATGCGGCACAGCACTCTACATGTACCATGGGCACTTAAATAGGCATTCAAAGTGAGAATGGGTTAAATGTAGCCAAAAAATCTTGGGATCGAAGATGCACTGAGCATTTCTCACAGGAATAATTTTCACAAAACAGATACAGTGTAGTTTCCTAATAACCACTTCACTTAAAATCAAGTCAATGAGAGAATGGCAGTAAAATTAAAATTACTGCTAAAAATGGTGATACAATGTCTAAACAGCATACCATGAAGCATCCAGAGTTGTAAGATCAATTCCTCTCTGCAGCATAGCTTTGAACCGCAAAGTTAGTGGAAATGGAACTTTGGCTATAAAGTAAAGTAAAATGAAGTTAATTTTTGGGCTACGCGAAAACCTCCATGTGTGACCATCTCTTGTAAGCGACCACCTCCCTCAAGCAGCCAAATTTCCAACACACCAATATTTTCCCAGTCAAATCCTTATAATCAGAACCTCTTGTAAACAACCACCTCCTCATAAGCGACCACATGTACAACCACTTTACTGGTCTGACAGTTTGATTATTTTCCATTGTTTTTAACCTCCTGGAGTGACCCCTTGACACATGATGTGGTCTCTGCTGTACTACTGTGTTTAGAGAATAACAAGAACAACATCAAACTATTCTTAAACATAACTTAGGGGGTAATTACATGAGACTGGGACAAACTCAGGCTGGTATGAATCTGTAATTTTTGCAGCTGTTTACATGAGACTGGGACAAAACACTTCATTGATTACATGAGACTGGTACAAACTCAAAAACAGGAGATTCTTGTAGCTACATAACTTTCTTAAGTCGATTATTCAACATATTATTCACTAACTGCCCTAACTGGTACACAATTTATGCCAATTAAGACAGTGAGGAGAGAACCATAGATTTCACAGCTCCTAGAAAATAAAAAATTGTAAACTTTATCTAACGTTCATCTGGTGGCATGTTAAATGCACAGCATCTCAAAATCGGTGCAATCCCTCACATTGACCGAAGCATATATTCAATTGAAGCTACTTCCAAGTCTTGTTTACAGTTATTCATAGAAGTGTTCTTATTTAACTAAAAAAGCAAAAATGATGGAGACATACAAAGAAGCATACTATTTATGGACCCAGTCTGAGATCTGTTTCCGTTTTACATGAGAACGGTATAGGCTCAGACCGGTACGAAAATAACTTGTGTCGGGTCGGACCGACACGAAGTCAGACCAGTCTGAGTTCATTTTTAGGTTGGTCCTATGTACATGCACAAAAAGAAATGTATGGAGAGCGATACGCAGTGTTCTCACCAGGCTGCAGCCTTGCGGGATTCCCGCAAGAAAAACTGAAATGGCGCAAAAACCACTCATACCGGGGCAAGCTCTGGACTTTGTTTAATGGTCAACCTAACACTAAAGCTTTCTGTTTGTTTGAATAAATAGAAAACATGATATCAAATGAGTTAGAAATTTTGTTGCCATTTTTGGTCCCATGCTTCCTTGTAAACTTAATCGTAAAACTTTCTTCCGACAATTCCATTAATGGTATTAAAATTTGGACAACAGGTTCTTATTTTTTTGTAAGTTTGTCCCCCTACTTAAGGGCCCCTAAAAGAACAAACTGAAAAATTCTCAGACCAGTCCGAGTTGTCTCATGTAAAATCCCTAGAAACGGCCATTTTGCATTATTGTCCTACCAGAATTCATTTTGTTTTTACTTCTAAATTGTTCTTTCAAAAAAATAGAATAGCCCTTATTTGCACAAGAAAACAACAAACTGAAAAATTCTGGTACTTGTAGTAAAATGACGTCATTGTGCATTATTGTCCTATTGCATGTCTTTCAAAAATTAGTTGTGTTGGGACCTCTTCTCGGAAGAGACCCCCTGTTGGTCAACTCGCACACAACCACCTCCCATAAGTGACTACTAAATCTTCTCATTTTGGATGGTCCCTTATTGAAGGTTTGACTGTAACTAAGTATCAGCCAAGGTACCAAGTATCATCAAGACTGTAGCTAAGTATCAGCCGTAAGTCCAGAAACATCTGCATGCGAATAAACATAGAACTGACGCTTTTAATTAACAAAACCCCAACAAACTACACATTTTCTACACATTTACTACCGATACTGCTCTCTTAACCTTACTTACTACTGCAAAACAGCTGATATCAACTAATAACTTACTTGTGATGAAACCAGAGTAATGCCAGTTGATCCAGCCACCAATAAGAATCATTGGTAATACATTTGTGATATTTCCTTTAGCCATGTCCACCATCATTGACGGATCTGTGATAAGGAAAGTATCGTCAGGAATACTTTAAAAATACTTTCGGAGTGGGTGTAGCGTTATAATTACATGATTTGAAACAATTCCCCTATGGAGACACATTTACCGGAACCTCGAGTTTCTTCTTGCAGTCAAGAAAAGTTATAATGGGTGGGAGTGATTTTGCTATCTGAAGGTTTTGCTACAGACAGGCATAATTTCATGAACTCCATGAAAGTGGTTTGTGACAGTTGACAGGTCATGCATGTAAAAGTTCTGCTATGTGTCGTAATTCAATGTTTTGGTTTTCATGGCAATACATGCTGCACGTCAAATCCACTCTACTTCTCAAATCCTTTCACAAATTCTTCAAGCGCCATGGGGTTATCATCGAGACATATAAAACTACACTGCGGGAGATAAGACTGGCATTCAATGACTAAATGGTGCCGCCATATCCTTTGTTAATTTAATCATTTTTAGTATCCTTTCAGTAGGTGAAGGTTGTGTACTTTATTTACCTATAAATGACATGTGCATTTAGTTCATTATTTAACACATGACATTTTCTTGGCATTGTTTTCCTTCCCATAAACTTTGTCTGTACCATATTTATTCAATTAAACGTTTCCGATGTGGCGTTTATTCAAGGGCGGCATTTATTTCGAAATCACTTTTATTAAATCACTGACAACAGTTACTGTATTAAATCGTTTGGCAATACTATGAAATTGAAAGGTTCCAAAGTCTCTATTATTTTAAATGTCTGGATGGTGTAAATTACCAAGTTGTAGCGAGGTTTTTCTTATTATCCTCAAATAAATGCCACATTCTTCTGATGAGGCGTGGCATTAATTGGCCGTTTTGCTCCATCTATGGCATTTAATCAAATAGATACGGTAACTGTGTTCAAATTCTGGGTGGCTCCTTCTAAAATGTTCTACAGTAAGTATAGGATTTAATGAGGCTCAAACCAATTGTGGAATAGTGCACATTTTAGGCATCCTACTGATAAACAGTTACGACTGATACATATTTTTAGCAGCAACAATTTGCCATCTGTCCTCTTTGAAGTGATCTTACAATAAATAACAGCTGTTAAAAGAGGACTACCTGTGTTGAAATGATGTTTATTTGATTTTAGTATGTAGGCCTTGCCCCGTTAATCCTATAGGAAGATCTTGTTTAACTATTGTTTATCAACAGACAGTTTCTTTATTTTTTATCATTGAAGAAGAAGATCCTCAAACGTAGCAACAGTATAAAATTAGAACAGACCTCATTTTGACACTTGAATGAGTGTAATGAGAAAAAACCTTTTTTTGCGAAAGTAAAAAGCTTTTGAAGCAGGTTGATGACATCACAAGCAAAACCAACAGCAAGAAAATTAATTTCTTCATAATAATATATTTTACAAACAAAGAAAGACATTCCAACATTAACCTGATATGGGATTCTTGACTGGTCCCTTTTTGTCCTGTGTCTTAAAATATCCTTCTTTTTCATCATTGAAGAAATGTCTTCTTGCCTCAAATGACTGTTAACGAATAGCAAATGTTATGTTACACTTTACAAAAGGGGCTGCATTCACAAATCATTTAAGAGAAACTGATTAATTAATGTAAAAGTTAACTACAGGTGTAAATGTAAAACATGGCCCATCCTTCTCAGGAGATTTTGCCAAAACTCTCTGTTTGAAGCTAGCTGGTTGAGTCACTGATTTTTCTGGTCTTCATCTGAAGCAGATCCCAAGAATGCTTACATGGCAATTTTCACCAGTTGCTGGAGCTTCTGGAGAGCCCTGCGTGGGATTAGCTTTATACACCCAATGCAAAAATGACTGCTGGATTAACATTGTTTTGTTTAAATTAAAAATAGCTTTACCAGCCTCATTCTTAAGTACAAAATTCGAAAGAATACATTATCTCAAGAGAGACTAGTCAGGCTAGTTTTAATTTAAACAAAAGAATATTATAATACAACAGCCATTTTCCCATTGGGTCGATAACATATGAACTGCTAGAATTTCTTACATGACACAAGTTATGACAAAACTTCATTGCTTTCACAAAACCCTATTAGCCTAACAGCAGCACAGCATGAACAGTGTACTACTGTTTTGCCACTGGATTTAAAGTGGTGCTATAGATCTGGTTGTTCTTGTATCTAGTCTCAGTTTCTTGTAAGCTGTTTTGTAGCTATATTCTTTTGTGCTGTAATACTAGTGATTTGTGGTGTTGATATTAAAGGTCAGGCTGCACGGTTGGCAGCTTGGCTTATTGTAAAATGCAGTCAATGGAACATGAAGCTATCAACCCTGTGGGCATCTCTGCGTGATGTACTTAAGACCTCTCACTGTAAATCATTGTTAGGTGCTTATCATTAGTTACATAGTATTATTAATTTTGTCTTCACTGTCTGTAGGTGAATACGTTTGCCTATTCTGAATGGCTAAACCAGTGAATGCTACATTCATGTTTCCTTTGCTGTGATACATAGCTTATTGTTAGCATTGTACAATCCTGCTCATTGGCTTAGACCTCACACATTGTCTAACTATAAATCTGTGGTCAGAAGTTGTGAGTCACAATTTTGCTTATGCTGAGACAGAAGGGGGGAGGGGCAATGAGAGGGTGCACATTATAATTGCCTTGATTTATAAATTTTCCATTGTCATGCAGTTTAGTGAGGCTGGGTCTATAAATCAAAATACCTCATAAGGGATATATTTTGCATTCTCTCTTAGATTTCTGCTTCTCAATAATGCTTGACTGAAAATAAAACAGAAAGACAAATATAATTAACATTATTCAGAGTATACTGGCTGCAGTATTGAAGAGTATTATGTTAAATAACTATAATGTGGATGGCACTCAACAAAAGCTGATTGAGATTGGACCTGACAACAAAGATGACTGATCACACCACTATAATAAATACATGTATGTCACAATATTAAATTGCAGTGGAACCCCAATTTTATAATCATTGATATTTAACTATATATCTGATTTAATGATCAACAGCAAAGTTACTGTACATTGTATGGAGCAGAATCCTGATTTAACGATACTCAGTTCACTGATATAAGGATGGAAACCTAGCAAACCAAGATGAATGAATACTTTTGGAAAATGATCAATAAACCAAACCATGAATGTGACTACACATAAACATGGAACAGTACATCCCCTCTACCCTTGTAGTGACTGTCTTTGCTTCTTTTAAAGAAAGATAAAACCTTTTAAATACTAAACCTAATTTATTTTCAAAGATTTCAAATGAAATGTGCTTGAACTATTAAGGACAAAAGATTGTCATGATTGCTTTGTGTAAAAAACACGAGTTGAGTAACAGCTTGTACGCAAAGGAAGACCCTCAGCTCAGCCGAACAACAATACTTGTCAATTTTCATTGAAACACAGGGCCCAGTTGTTTGAAGGCCAATTTATTAGCGCTAACCCAGGGCTAAATTTTAACCCATGTTTCTTTTCATTTTGTTAAAAAGCATTTTCACCGGATAATTTCACTATTATCAGGGTCTGGAAAGGGGTTCGTGATCATTCCAGCTGCTTTTTCACGAAAATCCCACATCAACTTCTTTCATTACTTTCCCACATCCTGTTTTTTTTTTTTTTTGCAATGGCTCAAAAACAGATACATTAAAAAGACTGATGTACAGATTTATAATTGGTCTCATTTTAAAGCTTAGGAAGTCTACTTTTCAACAAAAAAAAATTATGGTGTGCTGATGAAGCCTTCTGAATTATTTGTCTTGAAAGACACAGTAATTTTCCTGGCATTATAGTTTTTTCCCAGTGGCATAAACAGCCAGTGTCTTTGTGAAAAATAGTTTGAACTCAATTCGATTGCATGAGCGAAAATAACCTTGAATATAGTGAACTAAACTCTTCTACAGAACAAAGAATTTGAAATCCCGACTTTACATAGCATATTTTTCGAGATACAGCCTGCAAAGAAAGTACTGTCCGATAGCCCGGGGCTAGTGGATTTTGCTATCGGGCTAGTGTTTTTTTCCAAAGTTGTTTTATGAGGAATTTGAATAACATTTTGGCGCTTTGAAATGATGTCTGGGCTAAAATTTAGTGGTCTTATAAAAAATGATTTTCTTTGCAAATATTGAAGTTAGAATTTTGTCCCAAGTTGAAAAATTTTTGAAAATTTAGTGGTCTTATAACCAAACTTAGAATCCTTGAAAAATTGACAGTACATCCATGAATATTCAATGTACAGATTTATATTTGGTCTCTTTTTAAATAAGCTTAGGAAGTCTACTTTTCAGGAAAAAAAGACTTATGGTGCATCAATGAAGCCTTCCAAATTATTTTGCTTCAAAGACACCATGAATTTTGCGGTGTAATTATTTTTCTTAACTGCATAAACAGGCAGTGTATTTGGGTAAAATATTTTGAACTTAATTTGTTTGCATGACCAAAAATTACCTTGAAAATGGTGAACTAAACTGTTCTACTGCATAAAGAATTTGAAATACTGACTTGACAAAGCATATATTTCTTATATTCTCTGTTCCGCATTTCGTCATAGAAGTTACCTTACGGTACCTTATGTTCATCACTTCGAAATTCATTCTGCCTTGGAACTTTCGTGCGCGGCTTTACTATGTTGACACCTCACGGCCTTGTGTCTTGCGGGGCTGCTCATTAGCAATTATTACCTACGTCAATCTATAGTTTTCTTTCATGGAGAAACCACTGAAAGCTTGCTTGTTTGACTTCACATTTGCCGCTAGAACGCACAACTTGCCGAATTCCCAATAGACAAGCAAAAATTAAAATCCTGCATCGTGGCCCAAGTTTTAGTGAATCCCGTTTCCCAGGAAGGAGTCAAATCCCATTTCCTGTCAAGTTATTTTGCGTTTTTCCAAATCCCGCTCCGTATTTTTGTCAAACTCCAGATCCTGAAAACACCCTTCCAAACCCTGTATTATTTTTAATTAGCACATCCAATTATCAAATTACAGACAAAAGGAATAATACTGAATCTGCTTTTAAGTTTGCATGTCTGAATTCAAATAATTTTGGCAATAACCCAGGGTTACCTTAACCCATCTTTCAACAACCCGGACCTGGACTAATACCTCGAAAGACGTGGGTCTCGGAAAATTTTGGTCCAGTCTCAAAATCTTGGCATTTAAAATAAGCGTCTCCGAATCTTGGGCTCACTAAAAATTGACTCGTTTTGGAATCTTGAATTTATAATAAGGGCAAAGTAAGTTTAAATACCATGAATTACAGACGCTGAATATATTACCGTTACTAGCGGTAAATAACTAACATGGCACTAATGAATGGGAACTACCGGTACCTTAAACATTTAGGCTAATTGACTTAGCAAATATTCATTGCTGCAGATATTCATTGCCACTCGACTTATTCTTAGCTATGAGCTTTACAGGCAACGGCTAAGAACTTTATTAGTACCATTACTTCGAAATCTTTATCACCTAGAGTCTTGTACTCGCAGCGTGCAAAGAAAGTGGTGTCGGATAGCCCGGGGCTAGTGGATTTTGTTATCGGGCTAGTGAATTCTGTTCTTAACTTGCCCGACGGGCAAGTGATCTTTTTTGAGGATTCGAATAACAGAAGAACTGTGAGATCAATTCTGCTCTTCAAAAAGCTTTTGGGGTTATTGGGGCTAGTTGAAATGACGTCTGGGCTAGTAAATGTTAGCTTCAGCTTGCCCGAATGGCAAGCTGTAAAAATTATTTTCTTTGCACCCTGGACTCGGATTTTCAGACGTAAAGTCTTGGTCTCAGATTTGATAAAAAAAGCCTAAGCCTCAGTCTCGAATTATTAAACCACCCCTAATATCAAAACTTGAATTTTTCATGACGCCTTCACAACTGACTCAACTAAATTTTACCTGTGCATGTATTTCTTTTGTCCTTCCCCGACGTTGAGATTCGCTTTTTTTTTGCAAATGGGCAATACGTGAATCAACATTGGGGAGGGCGTAAGTGACAAGTGTTTCAAAAATGGAAGGAGGCTATGGTAGCTTTCTGAGGTGTACGACTACAATGTCGTTTTATCAGTGGCACGTTTTGCCGGGCGTTTTGCTTCCCCTGGATCTAGCTGGACTTACCTGTCAGAAACTTGTGAAAGATCTAATTCCTTCTTAGACTGTAGAAGCATTGAGAGATAATGTCTGATTATTCCTACGAGAAACGTGATGATCACAATGGGTAAAATAACCCACAAACGGATCGCTGGGTCAAGGAACAGTTCCGCCATGATGGTCAAGACACGTGCTATGCTTTATGGGTAATCTGTGTGCTCGAACGAAAAGGTCGACGGGCAACCAGGACGTTTTAATATTTCTTAGCTTCTTTCTCTGAAAATCGTAAAGCCCTGATCTGAACCTGCGTTTTAAAACGAAGATACTCTTTAGACTGTGTGATAATAATGAGGTTGCTTGTTATGGTTAAAAGGGCGCCATATCACTGTAGCCTGAGGACACGAGGCCGCGAGCTGTCAACTTGTTTTTAAAACTTTGAGCATTCGATTGTTAGCTTATATATATCATTCTTGCCTCAATCTCATGGAGACCAGGGCAACAAACGAGGTAAGATGAAGTTATCTATTCAACATTTGGTTATAACTGAACTTTCATTATGACTGTGAAGCGCAACAACAAACTAAACCCCACTGAACAGGCTTGTAACACGGTTGGGTTCAGGCAGTTTTATGGTAGCTAGCATTATAATAAGTAATTATTACTTATTTACATTAAATGGTAATACTAACTAATTGTAACCTGGTTGAAAACCTAGGCCCATAAATTAACTTCTAAGATACAAATCAAGGAAATCATAACTGCCTATGGAGTGGGAGGGTGGGAAAGCAAATAGTAGCAATATTGTCTCGCTATTGGCTTGTAAAGCTGATGGCACATTCCTGGAGCGTGGCTAAATAACTCTCATGATCTTAGCGGCTGTCATGCGGTCATGCATGCCCTTCCCGCCGCAATGAAGCTTGCGTTTGTTTTTCTCCCATGCTGACTGTCCATTCACGGGTCTAGATTTATATTATATATTAATATATTAATTATTTGATATTAAAAGTAGGCTTAACTGTATGTTTATAACAGGAGAAGGCAGCTAGTTGGCTGATGTAAAGCTACTTGTGCTATATTATATAGACCTATCTAGTGTAACTACTAAATATTTACAATTCTAAACTGCGATTACAATGTGATTATGCACCAATCATCTGCCATCGATCTCGCCTGGTGAGGGACGAAAACCAGTTGTTTCGATCGTTTCGATAAGACGTCAAGTACTGAAATTACACAAAAATTTTGATCACTTCAATTATAGTTTGTGTGTGAACAAGAAAAATATTTGGGGTGAATGTATACCTGCCAACTTTTTTTAAATTATAGGCGTGACAGTTTTATCCTGAGAGTGCCAGGATTTTCCATAGGGTTCTGAAAATACCCGAAGATGTCCAAAGGCATTCGAGTAGTTCTGTCTAACATGAACACAAGAACACAAATGAACACGACCTTGAGTCGAGAGAAGTCTATCATTGACATGGACTTTTCTTTTTTCTCACTGGTTCCAGTTTTTAAAAATGATATTAACCCATTCGCTCCTGGAGTTTTTGCCGAAAAACGCGTTTTGAAGTTAGGCGAGTGGTTTCCTGGTCACTGCTATAAAGAGCTAAAACTTACCACAAACCGGTTTACAGGTTGTACACTTCACGGCCTTCTGATGCAGATGCAAAATATCAGCTTGCGAAGTTCGGGCATGTGCAGAAAGCAAAAAAGAGTGACACGGCAGTTTTGACTTTTACTTTTCGCTTTCACTCCTCCCCTCTTTTTTCGCTTTTCTTGCCTCATTTTTTTTTCTCTTGCTGGGCAGTTAGTAGGCTTTGTTTTGTTGGGAAGAGTTTTTAGGAAAGCGTTTAGGATCTTAGGATTAGGTGAAAGGAAAGGTAGGTGAGCAATGGAACAAGATCTTCATGGAGATTTTCATGTCAATGTCACATGGTTTTTTGCTTCTTTCTCCGGTGTCCTTGACGGAATTGTGCTCATTCTGGTATGGTTTGAAAGATCTCTTCACTCTGCACAAGTTAGTGGACAAAGTTGTCCTTGACCGTTAAAACTGATCACGTCACAAAGGGTAGAAAGGACGTGGATCTGCATGGGCGGTTACAGGCGGTTCAGGGGTGAATGGGTTAATCTTTATTAATCTTATTTTCCACTCCATTCCTCATCGTTTGCTGTAGAAGACAAGTTGCAATATATTAGTTACTACACTAAAATAATATGTGCTTTCAATATTGCCTAGTTGGGGTTTTAATTATACTGAAAAGAAAATTAACTGCAACATCTATTTTGGAATGACTTACAGCTCAATGGCTATGACAAGCTATACCTTCTGATGTCAAAGTGGAAACTAACTCGTCTGTTCAACCACTTTTGTTTTGTTGCTGATGTGACTTCCATTGAAGACCTAGAGAATCGAGTGAAAACAAACTTGACAGAATTGAAATCTAAAGTGCCAAGCTGGGCATCAGAGTCATCATTCAGCCATGATATAGAAGAAATAGAAAAAATGATCAAAGATTCCAAGACTGTGAAATTTGAAGACTTACCATATATTCTGGTGAGTTACTTTGCAGTTTGGGACACTATAGAATTAGTAATTGAATTACTGTAAACAGTCATGGGTAAGCTGCAGGGCTGTCACTTAGATTTCAAGTCGCCAGGTTAATACAACAAGTAGGTGGGAATCAAACAGCGAGCGATTTATTTTGGTTCTATTTTTCTTCTATTTTGCTATGAAAGTAGCCGGAGGCCACATTCAAGGGGAATCCCTGACCCCTGGCTCTTAATGACAGCCATGAAGCAGCACCCCAACTTTCATCCTATAGATTTTTAAAAAAATTAAAATTCAGAAAAGTACTGAAGTTTGCTATTTTTCTGGTACTGGTGATGTGAGGAAAAAAGAGGTAAGTCATAGAAGGCTGGACATTTATGGGAGATGTTTGGAAGCCATCAATCAGAGAAAGGCTTGTTGCTAAACAAGAGTTCAACAATTCTCTTGATTGCATGCTAGTGTGGAAATTATAGTTGGTTGTAAATGGTTGTAGAGAGATGGTAAATGTTATGGGGATTACATTCGACCTTCCCCTTATTGGCCACCTTTTTACAACTCACATTTAAAGTATTGGGAATCCGCTGAGGTTTCATAATTGATCATCAGAAATAATCAGATTGACCCAACTGATTGATCTTTAATTATAATCAGAACAATTTTTTACGATTATTATTCCATTTAGTGTTCATTTGCTTGCAAGTCAAAGTACTATAAACTTTTGCGTTTTTGGATAGTAGACTTCTTTTATTAATGGCAACCATTTTGGGAATAAAACAAAATCCTTACAAACCAATAAAGTTGAGAATTGCATGTATGGACATCCATTGAGCGATGTTTTAGAACATGACAGAAACATATGAAATGTATCAAAGAATAGGTATCAGTGGATTATCTGCATCATGACTCCATTAATAATAGAACACCTTAGTGTTTTAAAACTATTAAATTTATTAAAATATATTTCTATTTATTAAAGAGAATAAAAAGCACAGCTAGCCGTTGTAACGTGTTTGAGAACATGACAAAAATTTGAAATGTATTAGAGGAGGGAATTCAGGGGATTATATCTGCTGCATTATGAGTCTTTTTTAAATAGAACATCTAATTAGACAGTTTTTTAAAACTGCTGTCAAACCTCCATGTGTAACCACATTTTGTAAGTGCCACCTCCCATAAGCGACCACCTACCAAAAACAAATTTTTTTCCTGGTTGGAACCTCTCATAAACAACCACCTCTTGTGAGCATCCGGGGCCATGTTTCAGGCTGATGGTTTTTAAACCATTAAAATAGTGAAGAATAATTTTCCTTCGTTTTTGAGCTATTTTGAAAAAATAGCTCATAGGTCAGTGGTTTGGGTGTGTGTCTTTGTGGCTTTGTGGCCTTGTATGTTCGGATGTTCGTTGCAGGGGCCAATAATGTTGAAGGTACTATGAGTTGATGCGGTTGTAAGAACCAATGTGATTTTGGCATCTAACTGTTAATAATGATTTTGCTTAAGGTCAAACAAGGGCACTTAGAGACCGCCATCTTGATTCTTCACAATTTTTACGACTTTTATTAGTGGTTAATTAAGGAGTTTAGAAGCATAACATTGAAATATCTTCAAGATTCAAACGCTGAGTACAGTGATGCAACTGTTTGAGGGGTGCATATTTTAGTTTGGCGGCTGCTTCAAGACATTTGACCTAATTCGGCTATCGCGAACGGTACAACGCACTTATTTCATAATTTATGTTTCACCTGCTTCAAGGTAGAGTATAAAAGATCATATATTTTTCCATGGATATTATCCATGATTTTTCAAAGTTCTTCCAATGAAACAATAATAATATTGAAATTTAGGCATGGACTTTAATTCAGAAGTTTGCGGCCTTTAAATTGTTGTTTTAGAAGTTTGAAAGGCAAGGCGAGTGTTGTTAATCCTGTAAACAAGCTTTATTCTCTCGCTTACAAAGTTCAACAGACCTTTTTTGTACCGGCCAAAGTTATTATAGTCATGGAAACGTTTTCATTTTATTAGAAAAGATGCATGCTTGTAACTTAAGTTGAAACAGTAGTGGTCAGTGAATTAAATTGGAAGTTCTAAGCTAGTTGAAAAAAGAATTACACATTGCTTTATTGAGTGGAATAACATGATATGAGTAGAAATATATTTCGGCAGTTTGATAATTTTCTTGGAAGGTAATAAATATTAGGCTATCAACCTTGACATTGCATGAAGTATACTTTAATTGCAGATGTCGTAATGAAGCCAAGATGATTTCTTAAAATCATTTGAGAAAATTTTCTAGCAAACAATTTACGTTTTCTTTACATGCGAATTGTAAAAGGGCTAAAGTCCAACATGCAAATGTGCAAATTGTGTGCATGAGTTATTTTTGTAATTCTGTTTACTGGATTACTGTGTGATAACTCGAATTCCCTCACGTACGAACTGCGAAAGGGGCAAAGTCTGACACTTTCACGTGCTAACTGTGTAATTCTACATCTCATGCTGACTGGCTTTTCAGAGTAATAATCAGTAACTTGAATGATTGAAGCCATCTTTAGTTTTGTAACTAGTGCCTAAGCAAAGGCTCTTTTCTTTTAAGAAGCAATAACTTATAACCCTTTTAGAATTAAGTTGTCAGAGTTAAAGACTGTTTCATTAAAGTAGAATCGCACGTGACACCCTCGTGAATAATGATGATGCAACCATTTACAACAATGATGAAAATCGTGACATTTCTTAGCTATTCATTATTTTAAGAAACCATGAAGAAACCTTCGAGTCTTCCCTCTTAGCAACATTTGGTGAGTTTATATTTATAGTACTTTAACAGTTTGTTTATTTTGCACCAATTGTCTGAAGGAAAGACAAAGAAAAGTGAATCTGTAGTATGAGGAACAAATCAGCTATGCGCAGCAGTTCTCGTTTTCATTAATGTACGGCAATACCCAATTTCGTGCAAAACATAAAACAGTAGATTGCTGATACTGTTACACTGAAGCATTTAAAATAGCTCATGCACGTAAAATGTGAGGCCTATGTTTTTACCTCTTGTAAGCGACCACTTGACGCATGATCTGATCTCTATGTTTGCTTATCTACTATGTGTTATGTGCTGCTTAGAAGTATAAGAACTTCTATCGACAACATGGAAACTTGTACACATAATATTGCAACTTAAACATTGCAACCAGTGATTTATCTTCCATAAAGAAGGTTTGTCTGGACTGCTTCTCGGAAGAGGCCCTCTGTGGTTCCATTCTCATAAGTGAGTACCTCCTGAAAGCGACCATCAAGTCTTTGCATTTTGGATGGTCATTTACAGGAGGTTCAACTTTATTAAAAGTAACACATTTTTTAGTTGTCAGTGGGCAATATATTTATTTTTACTTTTTGTGACAATTTATCATTGAACATTTTCTGTAATTATCACATTTCGTTAGGTTTTTAAACAATAATAATAAACAGTCTATTACAACAATAATTGTTTTAATAGACTGTTCGTAGTCCCCTATTTTCCTGTAATATCATTGAGATCGAGTGCTTTGTATTATGTGCAGCCATCTTGCATGAGTGTCAAAACTACTTAGGGGGAAGGGGGCAGTTTTGGAGGAAGCGAGAAAAATAGAGGGACTGTACTAACATCACTGCAGCTCATGTATAGGAGGCGTGACAGGAATTTCATGTCTTTTACCATTTATTACTATTCGCCTGCTGGCAATGAAAAACATGCCAGACGCATTTAGACATCGATTTTGCGTGTTTAAAAATATCTCCTTTTGAAACGGTGATTTTATACAGTTTGTGGGACATTCCTCTAGGGAAAATCAGCAAACATGCACAGGTAAAACATTTTCCTAATCGAAGAGCTAAGTATGCTCACTACAGTCCCTCTATTTTTTTTGCCCCTCTCCCCCTACAGCTACTATAACCCCGATGCCTGCCCCCTCGGTACATTCGAAAATCAGTGATGGTAAGACGCGCTATATCTCCATGATCTCGACGAAAAATGCGGGGTTGTGAACAGTATTATTTTCTTTTCTTTTATGTGCTCTTGAGCATTACTACTCTCTGTTGTTGTCGTGGAGAGGATAATGAGTGAATGTATGTTTGTCTGCTAGGACAAAATATGTGGCCTTTCGGGAGAGGTTGCAGTCAGTAGGGTTGCCTATATTACTATTTATATATAGGTTGGAGTTTCAGTGTGAAAATGAGTACCAGCATGGGTGCTAGCATTACAACAGGAAAATAATATAATATAATAAGTGATGGTAATAGGACTGAGTGGAGTCCAATTCGGTCTGTAATCATACGAGTGATTAACAAAATCGGACGACCGCATAGCGGGAGTCGGATTTGTTTAATCATGAGTATGATAACAGACTGAATTAGACGACACGAAGTTCTGTTACCAATATTAATCATAACTTTAACAAAATTTGTGACATAATAGGCTATCTTTTAAATCAAAACACAAGAAATTCCGAAATTTTTATCGCTAGCAATGAAAAAAAAGCCATTTAAGCGCGCGCGTGATGGTGCGTACTGTCCAATTACTTAGGCATGACGCATACTGTCCTATTAACTGTCCAATTAAGGCTGAAATCAGGGCAGCTGATAGCCAATCAGATTTGACAATTTTGTTACAGTTATGATTATAATAATAATAATAATAATAATAATAATAATAACAACAATAACAATAAATATAATAGTAATATAATGGTAATAATAATAATCATTATAATAACAACAATTATATCACTTATAATGCACAAATTTGCATATGCATATGATCGATGTGCACGTATGTTGATGTCATTTGAAAGATTTGCATTTCAACTTATACAATGTATATGGAGAATTTCAGTTATGGAGACCACAAGAATAATGCCTATAAATACTATTTGTAGCCATTTGCCCATTAACACAAGATATTTGCTTCTCAAACTCATTAATTATTCATGACCCAATCAGCTTGCATCAATTGAGTCAGGTGCGTGTATTTTGATACCCAATGAACATACCGATTAGTTAAAAAACTGATCAAGAAACTTGAATTTTAATCAGTCTTAATACTAAATACAGTATATTTGCTGCTTCAATAATTGTTACTTACAACAACAATAGGGCAACATATTATTCTTTGTTGCTTCTTCTTGCTCGCTCACAAACTCCTTCTTCTCCTTCTTGCACTTAATGTGAAGCCCTTCTCGAACGCCATCCTTCATCTCTGCATCTAAGCAACGTCAGAACAGGACAAACCTTCGAAAAACAACACACCAAATTCAATTCCCAAAACAGTGCATTTAAAAATTCTGAACAATGCGGTCTAAAAGTTGTCAATTACCTTTTGTCACTAGCGTCCAGAGGATTCAAAGCTTCGGATCCATTTTTCTCCTCCAATTAACGCTTGAGTGCACAAATGATACCATAAACAGTCTTGAGAGGGTATCTTTCACCGGACTTTTTAGCTACCTCCACCACGAATTTTGACAGCCAATAGTTCAGCGACAGAACATCCATTCCGGCAATATCTGCGCTCAAAGCGGTAACCTTGTGTAACCACAATCTAATACCGGAACTTAAACCTCTCTTAACCTCTGCCATTTGGCAAAATTGCTCACAGCCCACTTGTTTTTATACTAGTTGAAGCTGGAACAGCATCATTCACCAGAACATTTCTTGAAAAGAAGTTTTAGGAACGCGAAATCGTTCTGATCCGGACTTGGCCTCCATCATGGACTGTAATGTTAATCTACTAAAAAACCCGCCAGCATGGCCGCATATTAAAATATTCATTTCATTTATCACGAATAAGAAACAAACAATAGCCTATTGAGCACGTCTTCTAATTACCTATTCTTCGGAAATAATTCCACTAAATTCTCACACTAGTTTGAGAAGTCATGTCAAGAACTTGTGCTTCGTGTTTCATCAGGGGTTCCAGGCGCCTCGAAACAATAAAAGAACTTGGCCTGCTGCCTCGTGCTTTCATCTGTTTCTCTGTGTCTGGAACCCCTGATGAAACACGAAGCACTCGTTTTTTACATATTACTTCAACCACCTAGTCCAAGCATTTGGCTGTTGATGTATCTCTTGTTTGTTGAGGTAATTAATAACACAATCCAAATCTTGAACAGTTTTTCAAAAGTCTGGCAGGCCTTTGATTTCAAAACCTCTACAAAAGTAGACTGGCATGGTGACTGAACTTACCCTCTGAACCTACTGGCTAGCAATAGAGTGCATTGCCTTGTTTTGCTAATTACATACATGTGTCTCAACTATCGAACAATTATTTAATTATGCAATTGTAATTTACAACTGACTACAACACTAATTTCATGTTTTAAAATGGATCTTTTCAGGAAATCCACAAACATATGTACAGAGAGGAGTTGGCGGATGGTGGAGTTCACATAATACCAAAAGATCACATTTCCTTACAAAGCAAAATTGCCCTTGGAAAGCCATATTCTGGTGATGTGTATAATGCTCAGTGGACTCAAGATGATAATACTAAGGTTGTTTGTGAAGGCGTTTTTCTTTTTTTCTTTTCAACATAGATGTAGGCCATTACATGTACATGCTATGGCTATATGGTCATCAATTTTTCGTTTGGTTTAAAGTTACTTTTGAAAGTCAGTTACTTCAAAGGATGCATTGCAAAGTAAGTTATGTGACTGTAAAATACAGGTTTTTTTATTACAGGGAAAAAGTGGCCTACAACTCAGCCTAAATGTAGGCGGGTTAAAATGTTTCCAGTCTAAAAAATGCCTATTTCTAAACTTGTTTTTCCTTTCTTATTTGCTATCTCAAAGTATTATTTCCCTATTCAATATTAATTTAGCATCTGCTCATTACTCTACCAGCATTTCTCAATAATCCCTTGTTGTTCATGTAATATAATTAAAATATAATTTTACAGATTGATGTTGTACTGCGATGCGACCTTGGTCCACAACAGCGGGAATTGTTTGTAAGAGAAGCCAAAATAATGAGTGGCCTTGACCATGAGTACATAATGAAATTCTATGGAGCTGTTCTTCTTGGTCCCTATGCACATTCTGTGGGACTGGTAAATAGACAATTTTAATTTGCTCTCAGCTTCATAGCTGTACTATTGCACTTTTAACTCTCAAGAACGATTCAATTTAAAATTAATTTTGGCTTAAGTTATTTCAAATACCTCAAATAATGGCTCAACAACATTTGTAACAACATTTGCAACTATTAATCCATACATGATTGTGTGGAAAGTAATGATTAATGGAAGGTTCCATGCATTGAGCTGTTGGTTATACAACAATTGGTTACTCCTTGGGTTTTGAGATGTACTTGCAGGATCTATGTTAAGAAGTAGGAATACACTATGACAGAAGACCTAGGTGTAGCTGAAATAGACATTGCTACCTTTTTTAAATGCTTGAAGCTATTAATACTATCTTCAAAGTGCTGTTGAAGAGGTACTTTTTATCATCACAATGCCAGTTTTTGTTTTGAGGCTCAAAGTTAGAACCTCACTGAAAATTAGCAGTGTATTACAGGGTGCAAAAAGTAGCTTAAATGTATGTGCAAATCACCATTATCTAATTTTGTGTATGCATTTAGGTAAACTAATGGAAAAGTTATCTTTTCTCTGTCTCTCCTTTGCATCCATCAGGTAGTTGAAGTATTCAGCTGTGGAAACCTTGAGGAGTTTCCTGTTCCATCATTCTTTCATGCCTGGCTTTATGCCTCACAGCTTTCTTCAGCACTAGAGTACCTAGAAGCAAAGAACATATTACATTCATCTGTCATAGGATCTTTTGTGTACATCTCTTCACCTGATAAGGTACATGGAATGCTCATCCAACAAGATATGAGCTCTGATATGAGATATATTAATTTTTTAAAAAATATGATGTGACTGGTTTCCTTTGCTTGACACTGACTGTTAATCTTTTTTCCTGTTTTCAGGTCAAACTTGGTGGTTTTATGTGTTGCTCTTATAAAGGGAAAACAGACAGAGAAAGTGTGTAAGTTCAAACAGTTTGTGATCCCAGACAAGCACTAAGACGTCCTCCACTAGTGAAGCTTGTATATTAAATGGCTCAATGCAAAACGTCCCTCGGCCCATTTGTTTCCTTTTTGGAGGGATGTTTTGGCGTGGAGCTTGTCATTTATTTCTCGGAAGGGGAGATTGAGCCTTTGTTTCAGTATCAAATACACCCTCCTGTCAGAAACCCCTACAATGCAGACACCTCTGTCTCTATTACTGACTATTGATGTGGACCCAAAGATACCAAACTTCACAGAATTTCTATCACTGTGATCAATATGGACACCTGTGTTATGTGGACACCTGTCCCTTTGGTGCCCGTCTGAAAGAGGTTTCACTATACCCCAGTTGCAATAGGAGAATCAAAGAGCTCCGTGAACCATGTTATGATTGTGTTATTATTAGAATAGAGTGTCGTAATAGACTTTACAGGTATTAAACTTATAGCTGAAGATTGACCAAAAGGTGAACTGTTAGTAGAATTGAATGGCGGTAATAAGACTTCATAGAACAAAAGATGGCAAGAGTTTTTGTAGTAATATTTTGCAGAACAGAAACTGTGACAAATCATTAACAAAAGAGTCATGTACTTGAATTTTAGTATAAAATTTTAGGTCTTTTACTCAAAAAATAACTAGTGATGTACCCTAAGTAGCCTTGCCTCTCTTCAGAACCTCCCATTTATTTGGACCCCTGTGGGTTACAGCTCTCTTGTTTTCGGGATAGGTTAAATTGGTAACTTTTTTTTTTCTAACCCAGGGTGCAAAGAAAATCATTTTTACAGCTTGCCATTCGCGCAAGCTGAAGCTAGCATTTAGTAGCCCAGACATCATTTCAACTAGCCCCAAAAGCTTCTTGACGAGCAGAATAATAATTGATTTCATAGTTCTTCTGTTATTTGAATTCCTCAAAAAATATCACTTGCCCATCGGGCAAGTTAAAAACAGAATTCACTAGCCCAATAGCAAAATCCACTAGCCCTGGGGTATTGGACAGTACCTTCTTTGCACGCTGTAACCAATGTAAACCAATCATGTGAGGTCTTCTGAGAGCTGCAAGATAGCCCTGTACCCTGGATTCAAGGGGGTTTTTTCTTTCCTAATTCCTGATATCAAACTGTGAACATGGATTTTTCATGTGAGTTATTTCAAGAGCAGACCTTTGGCGCCAGGGCACCAAGTGGTCATGAATTTGGCAAATTATACCAGTGGTAAAACACTGCAATGTATTTGCTGATTTGCAGTTATTTTTAGCAGGACAAATCATCCAAAATTTGCACAGTGTCAAAATAATTGCGTAATTTAAATTGAAACCTCTGCCTCTTAAGTAGTCGTATACTAGGAAGGCTACGATTCCCTGAAATCCAGCAGACAGCAATAAGTCATTCATTGCGCAAGCACATTCATGACTTAAAAAGTAAAGTAAAAATCAAAGTGGTTTGAAGCTTTTCCACACAATAATGTAATATATTTTATTTCCCTCTATCAAAGGGACCCGCTCTTGAGGTCAGCCTTAACTGGACGTCAAGAACAGCCTGTAGGTGACCTTTCACTTGAGGTTGTTATGGCCATGTTTGGGCAGGTTGTTGTTAAAATGTTCAGACACCTGACTTCTCATCTTTCGGCAGAACTTTTGGATCTTTTTTCTGTAAGTAGTCGCATAAAATAGCAATGAGTAGTATAAACAAGTGCATTGTGCTCTGAAGGGAGGAATTAAAAATTATTCCCTCTTAGATGTAAGTCATCTATTATCGCTGAAGAGATTTGTCTCTGCTACCTCTTTTTTGCTCAGGTAGTTGCATACTGTGTTTATATTATGCATTAACTTGACTGTTAGGGTGGATTTCCACCGGGGATTCTGTCATGAGTTCACGAAAAACAATTTTGTGTTTCATGAGTTAAAATGATTATGCTTTCACACACGCTTCTCAAAAATATATGTTGTACAAAATGCCAAAAAGGTTCCATCAGTCCCATTTTGTAAAGCAGGGTGCTTCGATTAAGTGAATTTGAGTTTTAAGAACCTTACGAAAAAAACTTCACTCGCACAGCTCACCCACTTGGTGTTGTCACTGCCCTCATAAATGTTAGAGTATCATTGTCATCATCTTCCACGCGATGTCCACATTCACTGTCTATGTTGTATTCTATCTTCTGGGGGTTGGTAGAAACTTCCTGTTCTGATTCAGCGTGGTAGAAAATTTCTGCTTCCACAAAAGTATTAATTTTCTCGGATTCATGAGCCGTGGAGGCCATAATTTCCCTAGTCTAATTATTCACTTTTGATCTTGAACACATGTTCGAGTGATCTCTGCACGGCCATAAATCTAGGGAAGCCAGGTGTAGGTGGGTCTATGTGCACTCAAGTGTGAAGACTCAAAAGTGAAATTAAATCAAGCCACCAGATGGTAGTTAAGTTTTTTTGGCCAAATTAACGATTGATTGGCCAAATTAACGATTGATTTTCTTTTCTTGTGTCACAATCAAGGATTTTGGCAGTTGTCGTTCCACAGAGTGCACTTCAATAATGATTCACAGAACAGGTTTTCAGTTTATCATGATTCACGGACACTGAAAATGGTTGATCATGGCGTCACGAAAGTGATGTTGTCCCCCTCTAAGATAGATGCTTCTGGGTATAATGAAGAAGTGTCTCACCTGTAGAGTCACAAAAATCAGCATAAGATTGGAAGGGACACTAGACAGGAAGCAGTGTTGTAGAAGTTTTTGCAAGTTAGTACAGTGAATGTGCACTCTTACGCTGATTACCAAGCAAAAAATTTGAAAACAAACCTAAAAAGGAAAGAAATAAAAAGAGACTGCATGCACCCTGTGACATGGTGAATTATGCATTACCCTGATAATGTGTAGGTACAAATGGTCAAAGCTCAGAGTGTTTACAGCCACTTCACAAGAAGCTGTCAAAAAATGTACCTGAGTTCAAGAGCATTGGAAGTTTTAATTGTAGTTTTATAAGCATTTGGCACGGTTGGTTGGTTGTAGAAAAAATGTTTATTTCTCTTTTCTCCGGAAACAACCCAAAGTTCTTCTTATAAGTCGTTGAAATAAACAAAGAAAAGATCATCACAGTTAAAGGTGCAACTTATGCAGTTGCAAAAAAAAAGCCTGGCTTGGCAGAATTAGAAACCTGACCTCTGTGATACCGGTGCAATGCTCTAATCATTTGAGCTAGCAAGCCAAATGGGAGCTGGTCATTTAATTGGTTCATAATGTACCCACGAAATTAATGAAGATGAGATGATGAATATAGAAAATTTACATATTCATCATCTCATAAATCATTGAGTCAACATTTTCCACCTCTGAATGCTGAAGTATTTTGAAGAGATTCTCGGTTAAAATTTGAATGCAGTTCATTTTAACTCCTACTATAATTTTTAAAATTAAACCATTTTACAGATGCTGCAGAAGTAATTACACAATAGCTCCTTTGCTGGTGATCTTAACTTTAACTCTAGCTCTAACTACTTCTTAGGAGTTTCCTTTTTAATGAAATCATAATTTTAGTGGCATGTTTTTGTTTTTAGACTACATTACATTAGATTTGCCCAAATCCGTTGTGAAGATATTGGTGCATGGTCTATTTGCTGTGTTGAGGTTATGAACTATAATCTTTCTTGTAGCATGACACAATGTCCCCTCTGATGTGTCCTAGTGGTGTTGCTTCTCTTATGGAACGATGCTTGTCTGCAGATGTTCACAACAGACCAGCTTTCCAAGAAATTAGTAAAGTCCTTGCTGAGGTGCGGTATTAAATTAACAGTTTTCATTTAGACACAGTGTCATATATTTAATAACTATATGGACAGAGTGTTTTAACGGGAACTAAAGCACTCTCAGAATCACTACAAACGGGAACTTAGTCGCTTATTTTTTTTTATTTTTAACAAGATTGGTTATATTGAGCAGTGACTTCACAATCGCTGCCATTTCTATCTTTGTGGAAAGAACTGGGTTGTTTGTTGTTTGGAATATTTATGACGGCTGAAAGACATTGTGGTGAAGCGAATGTGATGCATTTTCTAAACAACTATAGAACAAGAATAACCAAGAAAACGCAGTATGAGCTGACGATTGTCAGGAAATTTGTCAAAGTTGTAGCCAAAAAGTGTAGTCAGATATTACTCCTGTGGAAGTGAGTGAGAAACACTCTCTGTCCCTAATGACAGGGAATTTATACCAAGTACAAGGTATTTTGAAATTTTGTATAAAGCTCAGCATTTTTAAGAATAGCACTATCCAGGGGTTTTAATAAAAAAATTGAAGTAGCGAGCAGGTTTGAATAGAGTAACCGACCGTATCAACAATGGGCCGTTAGTCCCTTTTTTCTTGTGGGGAGGGGGGGGAGTGTCTTAAAATTTCAAAGCCGTAAAATGCGATTTTCAGCGTTTTGGGGACTATATTTGAGGACAAAAGAGCGAGTTTTTCATTCAAGAAAATGAAGCTTTCAATTTATCAGTCACACAATCAATTCCTACAAGCACTGATCAAATGATGAAACCTAGATTACGTACTTTTGCACGTAAACAAATTCTGCGTAAACCTATAAAGAAAGTTGTGAAAAATGACTAAAGCGTGACGTAAAACCAGTGGGCCTTTATGAACACACATTATAATTACGTTTAGTCATTCAAATTTGATGATATATTTTTTGTTTACAACGTTACTGAAACTAGTTGCCTCTTCTTTCTAGAAAAAAGTAGGCGACCTCTATGAGCAGAGTAGCCGACGCATTTCGTCGGCCGTCGGTGCTTATTGAAACCCCGGACTATCTCTAGTAAAACCCAAAGCGTTTCAATCTCTTCTGTGCTCACTTATGAGATATTGTTCTTGTTTAGATTTATACATACATAAAAAAAGATATTCACAGAGAATCAAACTCACTCTGTTTTTTTGTATGAAAGGCGTGAATTTGAACTGGATTCTATGGATTTCCATGTTGTCTCATTACATAACTGATCATAGATTTGTTTGCATCTTATGCATGGAGGAAACTGTATTCCTTCTGATGTTTCAGTCTAAATTAACAATAGGGACTTTAAGATCCAACGACCCGGACGGTAACGAGAACATCGAAAAAACAATTGGTTTAATAAGCAAAACAACAACTTTGCACGTGCATCACGCTTGTTTGTACATTTCTTTCCTGTTTTTTCACGACTACGACGTGAATATGCCTAACTTTGCGTTTTATGGAGGACGTAAACAAGCAACGACGAAACTTTGTTTGTCTTTCTGAGCTTGGCTATGGACCCTTGAAATTCAGCTTCAGAAGGGTTCGCCTACATTTCACAAAGTAAGTGGGTTGGAATAATTGCGATAAAGACTGAAAGAACGCAAATTCAATTTTTAAGCGACGTTCTCGTTGTCGTCGCGTCGTTGGATCTTAAAGTCTCTAATGAGTTAATTGCCCTTTGCAGGAAAAACCAATGAAATGTTGTTTTACAGTGGATAAAAATGACACCGGCCCTTGTCAGTTAAAATACAAGAAGGGTGAAATGGTCTGGGTTATTTCTCAAGACACAGCAAGGTACGTTAAATAAGTTTTTAAATTGGGTTCTCAAAATATATCAAAGGGTTTACTGTACTATTACTGATAATAAATTAATAAATAAATAAAATTAATCTGATGCACATGTGTTTTTGTAGGTGTAACGGCATGTGGTTTGGTCAAAAAGAAGATGGAAAGACGGGATGTTTTGAAAGGGAAAAAACCATTAAAATTGATGATGATGATAGAGGTAATTAATAATCAATTATTAAATTGCAGGGAAATCTGTATGCTAAGTTATTATTATTGTAGAGAGTAGGATTGTAGGGACTGAATTATCCTTTTTTAAAGTGAAATCTCATTGGCATTTTCGTCTTTATCTTATGGAACCTCATTAAGATAAGGTCATTTTTGGTAGTTTAACCTGTTGGAAAGGTTTTCCAGTGATTTCTAGGTCAATGAAGGTCTTGCTTTTGATTGGATAACTAATAACTGAGTAAAGTAGTCATTGGTTGATTCATGTTGTTGAAGTGCGCTGACTCGCCTGTGACTTAAAATTACCGAGGCTTAACGTAATTATTCAAGTTCTATCACTTGTCACTTTCAATCTCTAACACAGTTATACCAGTTCCGGCTTATTGATTATTGGCGGGCAAATCGTAATTAGAGAGCGTTAGATTTGAGGACGAGAACAAGGACGAGTACGAGATTTAACTTTAAGTCTTTGCGCGTGTTCTCAAAAAAAAAAGACGCTCCGGAAAGCTTCATTTTACTTTTTTTCACCAAAAAAGTTAGTACAGTTATTTATATTGAAGCAGGTTCAGCCCTCTCCCGATCTAAGACTTCTTACATTTGATAACTTGCTCCCACTACTTCAGCATTCTCGCTAAATCCCGTTCTACAATGATCACGTTTTCCCGCGAAAATGACGCTGGCTCATGCGCGCGCAATACTTAGTATTGAGAAAATCTCGTACTCAAAGTCGTCGTCGGGAAGCCCAACTCTCTCTATCATGAAAAATACTTTTTCCCTTTCCTTCCTCCCTTTTTTTGCTGCTCCACATTTCTAATGCTACCTTACCACCCCAACCACATTTCTAATGTTTTCCGTCCATTGCCGCAACCACCACCACCACCATATTTTTATTGTTTTCCCTCCACCACCACCACATGTCTACATCTACATCTACATCTACATTTATTAAGTTAATAAAATCTTGTAAGACATCACATCAACTGTAATAAAAGCTAAATTAACCAACTGCCTCGCTTAAGTGGAAGGTGGGTGCCTGGGATACCCAGGGGCTTCCACTGTGGCCAGCCAGCCCCTAGATAGAAAAACTGCCCCCATGGCTGGCAAATCCCCGCAACCCAGCCATGAGCCCCCATTCCAGGCACCCGTCACACTGATCAAACAGTGGAAGGAAGAAAATAGGGATGGGAGGGGGGGAAGACGCTAAATGAACCGCTCCACAGACCACTGCACAAGCGCTCGATGAACAACTCGCAGATCCTAGCCATGTACAAAGCTACCACACACCGTGTGAGCCTGCACTTATGGGATTGACCGCTGGATGCCCGCTACGCTCGTGGGCCGCTTGACCGCTAAGCTTGTAGACCGCTTGACCGCTAAGCTTGTGGACCGCTAGACCGCTTAACTTGTGGACCGCTCAACTGCTAAGCTTGTGAACCGCTTGACCGCTATGCTTGTGAATTGCTTGACCGCTACGCTTGTGAACCGCTTGACCGCTAAGCTCGTGGTGGTTAACTTAGTTAAATTACATTTAACCAAATTTAACCAACTGCCTCGCTTAAGTGGAAGGTGGGTGTCTGGGATACCCAGGGGCTTCCACTGTGGCCAGCCAGCCCCTAGATAGAAAAACTGCCCCCATGGCTGGCAAATCCCGCAACCCAGCCATGAGCCCCATTCCAAGCCGAAGGGACTCTCCGAGCTGACGCAGCCAGATCGGAGAGGGAAAGAGGGGCTCAGGGCTGGGGGAAGCCCTGGCCCCGAACTACCCAAGTCCCGAGGCACCCTACAAGGACAACTAGGAAAAGAGAAAGATACGCAAGAAATACCTGTCAAGTGAGAAGGCTTGCTACCCCCACGATAGTACTGACGGGAGTGTGAATATAGATCTGATACGCATCGCTGGACCATCTGCCAAGTGTCTTGATGAGGTGATCTGGTAAGCCACGAGAGGCTGCTGAAGTAGCAGCGCCAATGCGGAAGCTATGACCGGTGTAGCAACCAGTGACCCCAGCAGCGGAGAAGATAGACTGAATACTGGATGTCAGCCATTGGCGATGTAGAGGGGTGCCATCAGAGAGAAGGAAGAGTGGGCCAGGAGTTGAGCCACGGACGTGTAGATACTGGGTAAGGGCGCGCACAGGGCAGAGATCACGTTTACCAGCACCAATGTAAATATGGCAACCTTGGCGAAAGGGGTCCGTCTTAGAGCACTTAATATGAATCCTGAAGCTGCTAGGATTGACTAGGGAATCTGCTTGGACATCACTGACAGCAAGGTGGATGTCAGGATTGAAGGGAGAGTTGACAGTAAACTCACCAGCACGTAAGAAACCAAAAAACCCGAGACAGCAGGCAGCCCAAAGCATTGTATGGTTGTAGTCAGAGAAGTTCAAGGACTGGAAGATAATGTGCATCAGCTCGATTGTGATGGGTTGGCGCTGACGCTTATTTGAGCCTTGGTGACGTTTGATGCCCCGCAACACCCGCTGTAACCGAAGGCAACCAACCAGCGGAGAAGGATGACCCTCCTCAATGTGAAGGGACCGAATTGCTGAAAGGTAAACCTTTATGGATGAATGGTGAAGAGTATCAGCAAGATGACAGCAGAAACGGATGAGCACGTCTTCACTGGCTGGAAGAGCTGATCCCGAAGGAGATAGGCTATTGTCCTGAGCACAGAAATCCAAGAAGCGGCGTTGGGCAGAAGCATAGACTTTCCTAGTGGAGGGGGCAAGACCCTGAGTCAAATAGAAGTGGTATTTATCTGACAGCGAAGATCCAAGTCCGAGAGGAGCTGCTGCGGAATCTGGGTTGGAATGGAGTCTGCAAGAGGAGCTAGCCGACGAAAACGCTGAAACTGAAAGCGAGACAGGGAGTCAGCAATGGGGTTAGACTTCCCTCTAACTGGAGAGGCAGTGAAGGAGAAGGAGTGACGAGCTGCCAACAGGGACAGATAGCGAACCAAGGACATGATGATAGGGGCTCTTGAAGTGCCAGACCGCAAAATGTCCACCACTGAGCGGTTATCTGATAGGAAGTTGACCCGTTTGGAGGCCCACTGGGGGCCCCAGAGGTAAGCTGCCACGACGATAGGGAAAAGTTCCTTGTACTCGATAGACTGAGAGACCTGTGATGGGAGCCATGCACCTGAAAACCAGTGACCCTGGAAGACTGCTCCATAACCAAGAGCCCCAGAGGCATCTGAAGAAACCTCGAAGTCAGGAATTGGAGCCCACTGGGGGTACTGAAGAAAGCTGCAACCATTCCAAGACTGGAAAAACTCTTGCCACCAGGCTAGGTCAAGAAAGAACTCTTGATTGAGACGAATCGGGTGGTCATCGCGTCGAAAGGCACATAGTAGGTTAATCATTCGGCGCAAGAATGAGCGACCTTGGGGTACGACTTTGCAGGCATGCTGAAGGTGACCTATTAGGGACTCCAGATCCTTGCGTTTACACCAACGCTTTTGTGACCAATCTTCCAACAAGGCAGTTATCCTATCAAATTTGTCCTGGGGAAGGCGTGCCAGCAGATTAAGAGAGTCCAGTTCAATGCCCAGGATGGTTAGGCACGTCGACGGCCCTTCTAGTTTGTCTGGATGGAGGGGGATGCCAAGCTTAGAAAAACAGTCAATTGACCTGTCCAGATTATGTTGACAAACAGAGGAGCCGGGAGGGCCAAGAGTGTGGAAGTCATCAAGGTAATGCATCAGGAAGGTGACATCGTAGTTTTGCTTGGCCACCCACTCCACTAAGTCTGCTATACATGTGAAGATATATGGAGCTGACCTGACACCAAAAGGCAGGACCATATCAACATAAAAGGCACCACGCCATTTCATACCCAGCAACTGGCGATCTTCTGTATGGACTGGCACAATACGGTATGCATTTTGCACGTCAAATTTCGCCATGAGGGAACCCCGCCCCAGCCGCATTATGCCTGCAATAATGTCATCTACCTTCATGTACTGCAGAGAATAATCCTCGCCCGCAATTCCGTCGTTGACACTGTGCCCCGCAGGGCTAGACAGGTCCAGGATAAGACGCCATTTGCCAGGTTGGTGGCGTTTGGGGATGACGCCGAAACGACTCACGTGGAGGACAGGGAGGGGAGGCTGGGAGAAGGGGCCCGCCACCCTGCCTGACTGAACTTCCGACTGCAAGTAATTGTCAATGACCTGAGGGTTCAGGAGTGCTGAAGCCATATTCCCTGTTGCCGACTTCAGGGAAGTACTGTAATTGAAACCTAGGTGAAAACCATCGCGAAGGCCTTGGACCACATATGCAACTTTGTCTGGGTTAGGATGATGACAGAGTTCATGCTGGAATCTATCCACATTGATGGGAGTAAGCTGAGAAACTGGTCTTAAAGGACAAACAGCTGGAGAACACAACGAAGAACTGGAACTTGGCAGACCCTGCTGCTGAGAAGGTAACACAAAAGGAGAACGCAACTCTAACGCTGAAAAATTACCATGAGAACCAACGTGAACAGGAACAAAACTATTTACAGTTGAATTGGCTAGAGGTTGCCTAGCGACGGCGGAGACCCCCCTTTGACTGAGAAGGGGAGCGGGACCGTTCTCTCCGCGCGGACCGGTGAGGGCAGTGGATGCGGGGGTGGTCCCCGTGGCACGATTCACAGGAGTGACGAAACCGACAGCGACCAAAGGGCCAGTGACAGCGCCCGTCGTTCCAGGAGTGGCAATACTGGCTAGACCGGGGATTGCCTGAAGACCCAAGAGGCTCTGATAGTGACGAGGCAGAGGAAGTGGAGGAGCCTGAAGCAGTTGAGGTGGTCACTGGAGATCTGGTGTGAAAGTTGTAGAGGTCTGGGTGCATGCGAGACCAGTCGGTTGAACCTGAGGCTGCGGCTTCTTTTCGGAAGGCGATGTCGTAGTGGAGCCACGATTTGTCAGAAAAGCGCCTTGCTGTCTGGATGATGAGTAACTTGTACTGATTTAAATCTTTCCAGCGAGAGGGGAAGGTGTGGCAAAGAATCATAGAAAAGATTGTGAAGGCTTCAATCCAGGTGATGATGTCTGCTATTTCAATGACCCGTTTCTTCGACCCTGATACCACCAGTTTTCCCTCCAAGAACGCTTGGGGTTCGATTTCTTGAGCTCTGATGTTGTCCGGAAGGAGGTCAGCCAAGTCTACAAAAAGCCCTGCGGTAATTTTAGAAACAAGCTTGAAGGGGACTGGAGCATAGCCAGGGCCCACCACAAATGCTTTATTGAGGTTTGGAAGCGTAGAGGACTCGGTTCCGGTCGCGCCACCACAAGAGCCCCCAACCACTACAGGCAAGTTGGCGGAGGACGTGGCGGGAAGAGAGGAGACTACCGAAGGACCGCCAGATGAGCTGTACGTTGAAATAAATGAGGGCACAACAAGCGTACCTGAAGACTGGGAGGTAGAGCCAGGGGTACTGGAGCTAGAGGATGCCGGAGACTGCGTAGAAGTCGAAGTCGAGGAGAGAGGAACAGACGCCGCGGCCGTGTTCGAGTTCCCGCCACTGGAATCTCGAAGGGAAGATAGCAGCGGAGGGAGCGATTCCGCGAGAGCTCTTGAAATTGCCTGGGCTAGCGCGTTGGTGTCCGGCAGGGAAACAGGTTGACCTGGCGGAGAAGCCGAGGTGTTAACTGTAGGAGCTGGGGTAGAACCGCTAGAAGAAGGCGAAGACGCGGTAACCGGGGAAGACATCGTTGACAGGCTGTTGTTCGTGGTACGCATCCTGAACGAACGTGACGACCCGCACGCTTTGAAAAATAAATGAAAGAAAAAAGGATACAAGAAAAAGCACACTGTAAGACTGACGCTCCAAAGATCGCTAAAAAAGGCGAAAGACGCTAAATGAACCGCTCCACAGACCACTGCACAAGCGCTCGATGAACAACTCGCAGATCCTAGCCATGTACAAAGCTACCACACACCGTGTGAGCCTGCACTTATGGGATTGACCGCTGGATGCCCGCTACGCTCGTGGGCCGCTTGACCGCTAAGCTTGTAGACCGCTTGACCGCTAAGCTTGTGGACCGCTAGACCGCTTAACTTGTGGACCGCTCAACTGCTAAGCTTGTGAACCGCTTGACCGCTATGCTTGTGAATTGCTTGACCGCTACGCTTGTGAACCGCTTGACCGCTAAGCTCGTGGTGGTTAACTTAGTTAAATTACATTTAACCAAATATAATATATATATATATATATATATATATATATATATATATATATATATATATATATATATATATATGTATATACATACATACATATATGTACATATGCATAAGTTGAATAAAAGTAAATATGTCAAATAACAAAATAAATAGATGATAATTCAAATTATAATTTACTTCACTTATTTCACGTCCTTTCCTAAATTTAACTTGAAATCAGATAATGACTTGCAATTTACTAAGTCAGCGGGCAGTGAGTTCCACTCTGTTATTGATCTAGGAAAAAAGGAGAACTTAAAGACGTCCTTAGAAACTTTTGGCATTCTATACTTAAAAGCATGGCTGTTGTGTGTTCTTAATTCACTGTTTGGTATTCAGTGCTCTTCTGTGTTTATGTCTACTAGATTATGACTAAGTTTGTACATTAAAGTCAATCTGTTTTTCTTTCGTCTTGTTTCTAATGTGTCCCATTTCAGATCAGATAACATGTCTGTCATACTTGCTGTTTTTGCTTTCCCACTACCACTACCACAAAATACCACAACCACCAACACCACCACATTTCTATTAGAGACCTTAAGCAACAACCGGATGCGGCCCGGAGTAGGCGAACCTGAAGTAAAATTTTGCGCTTTTGTGCTAATTAGCATATTTCTTTGATGTCAACCACCCTCATCACCACCACCACCACATTTCTATTGTTTCCCCCCCACGGCCACAACCACCACCACATTTCTATTGTTTCCCCCACGGCCACAACCACCACCACATTTCTATTGTTTCCCCCCCACGGCCACAACCACCACCACATTTCTATTGTTTCCCCCCACGGCCACAACCACCACCACATTTCTATTGTTTCCCCCGGCCACAACCACCACCACATTTCTATTGTTTCCCCCCCACGGCCACCACCACCACCACACTTCTATTGTTTTCCCCCCACCACCACCACCATCACCACATTTCTATTGTTTCCCTCTATTACCAGCACCACATTTTTATTGTTTTCCCTCCACCACCACCACCATCACCACATTTCTATTGTTTCCCTCTATTACCAGCACCACATTTTTATTGTTTTCCCTCCACCACCACCACCATCACCACATTTCTATTGTTTCCCTCTATTACCAGCACCACATTTTTATTGTTTTCCCTCTTTCTTCTCCTCCTCCGCCTCCACATCCTCCCACTCATTTTCACTGTTTTTGTACCTCCTCCTCATCCTCAATTTTTTCACGATTTTAATTGTTTCCTTACAGTTCCGATTGAAATCAGGGCTCGTGGTATTGAAGCAGAACTGGCCTACAGAGATGCTGTCTTGGAGGGAAAGGTGAAAGTATGTCGTGCTCGACTTCTAATAATAGGCCAGGACAGGGCTGGCAAGACAAGTCTTAAGAAATCATTGCTTGGTCTCCCCTTCAATCCAGATGAACCAAGCACAGAGGTTTTGGAAGTGAATCCATCAAAGTTTGATTTTACTGTGGAGCAAGTTGTTGACTGGAAGGCTGTTGATAGTAATGAGGATAAGCAGGCAAGACCGGAGGATCGGAGTGTAGCGAGACTGGTTGCCAGTAACATGACAAAGGAGAAGACAAATGAAAAACAGGTGTCACCAAAGAAAGAGAAAATGAAGATTGATGAAGAACATGCCATTGAACCAACACAGGTATATAAATCTTAAGTTTATTCTAGGTTGCCACGGCCAGGGAAGCGTTTTTTTAAGGTCATGGGAAAGGCAGCGGATTAAAAAAAAAAAACAGGGAAACCTAGTTCTTGGCTGAGTCAGAAAAAAATAGGGAATTTCGTTTTCAGGAAGGTGGAGGTGAAGGTTATCATGTTATTAACACCAGTGAAAAGTTCCAAGGTAAAGAAATTGAAATTAAAGCAAGAATACTAGTGTCCTGTTAAGAAGCTGAAGGAAATAAGAAATGCAGTATCAGTGAAAATCGGTTGGAGCTGAGGGAATTTTGTCGGAAAAACATCCATTTAAAATTGGTAACGCTGTCATCATTTTCTTTGAATTTACTACATTTACCATTTATATTTGATTCGCTAGAGTTTTAAATATGTCGTGATTAAATGCAAGTATAATGCAGGTAATCGATTCATGAACTGTAACAAATAAGAAAGGAACAGAGACCAGACCAGTAGAGAACTTGAACAGAATTGCGTCACTTTTGATGGCAATAGTATATGACAGTGAAATATGCTTTCCCCCACAGTTGATGAGTGGTGTTCCTCAGGTTCTCGTTGACAAGCTTTTATCGTCCGTACCTACACAAGATTTCAGTATCTCCTCTGAGGATTCAGTCGATGGCTATCAAGAGAGGCGTACTCCGAAGCCGGATATTACGATGCCAAAGGAGCTAACCCCACTTGTTGCCGAATTTCTTAGACGACAAGAAAGCCAGGATGGGGAGGGCAATGACAGGGAAACTGTTCTTGACATCTGGGACTTTGCTGGTCAGCACTTGTACTACGCTACGCACCCCGTTTTCTTCTCCCATAAAGCTGTTTATCTTCTGGTTCACAACTTGAGCAAAAACCTGGATGAACTGGCAGAACCATCAGTTAAGCATGGAGGACATACCGTGCTTCTGAAGAACACATCTCATGAGACCAATCTGGACATGTTATTGTCCTGGCTGGTGTCTATTCACAGTATCCGCCTTCCCTCAGTGGATCAGGACTTTATAAACACTTGTAGATCAACCCTTCGTTGTCTACCCCCTCCTGTGCTTTTAGTAGGGACACATGCTGACAAGGTCTCTGCAGGAGATATAGAAGAGGCACATGATAAGATCACGTCAAACTTAAAAGGCAAAGCATTCCAGGAGCATGTGTTGGGTCCATTTTATAAAGTGGACAACACCAAGTCATCTGACTCACCTGACGTCAGAGATATACAATTAAAAGTTTGGGACATTTTGTCATCCGGTTTGGATTGTTTTGCAGACTTGCCTGTCAAGTGGTTCAACTTTGAAAAGGCTCTGAAGGAACTAGCCACTGAAAAGTTTTATTTGACACTTAGTGAAATTCAGAACGTTGCACGGCAAGACTGTTTCATCGAAGATGACAAACAGCTTGACGCCATGTTGAATTATTACCACGACTTGGGACTGATTGTGCGTTTCAGGGATACAGTTGTCCTTGATACTCAGTGGCTGATAAATCTCTTCAAAAATCTCAGCACTATTCGACCTTATCAAGAGCAGGTTTGTCCGCCAAAATAATTTTTATGCAGAATGTTAAAATTGATCCAATTCAGTACTCTGGTGCATCAAGTATAGTAAGGGTAAATATTGATGAATAGGTGAACTTTTTGATGGAAATTGTAGACTGTTCATACATTTACTACCCTATTGTTCCGTAAGGTCGTTGAGATCGAGCGCCTACTGTGATGAGCGGTCATCTTGGTTTCAAAAGCATCAAATCTACTGGGGGACGTAGGGACGGGTAAAACCCTACACCCGCGCCCGCAATACGTATGAAACCAAGATGGATGCTCATTACAGTAAGCACCTAATCTCGAAGATGTTACGTAAAAACAGGGGACCGTGAAAAGTCTATCGCAAATGTTTTGTTCAATTTAATCGGGCTTGTTTGAAACTCATTATCATCCATTACCATATCACACCAGTTTTACCATGCATTGTTTCTAGAACAAATTTTATTAGAAAGTTTCTGTGAAGCGAAGATAATGAAAGAAACCCCATATCAAGGTACACTCCTTGCTTTCTCAAGGTGGAGTTCAATGCAACAACATTCATCAACGACTACATGAACTTTAAGGCTGCCATGAAAAGCAAACTTATGGTCTGTGAAACTAACGAAAAAACACGTAAACTTGATACGAGCTAATATTGTTGGAAACGCTCGCTTTGTATTTACAAAAGCCACATCTGGTTATTTTTCTTGCTCTCTCATTTCTAGACTATGAAACATCATACCTGTCATACTTGTCTTTATTCATTCAAATCGTTTCCCGTTTCTGATTGGCCTAAATCTCCCGGTTTTTTTTTCTTGCTAACGTTCAAGTTTGGACAATTTACGTCATTTGTCTATAATTATTTTGTTATTAGGCGAAGGACGTACCGTAACAGAAAGCTGAAAAAGCAAAAAATAGTTGAAGGAGATTTCATGTGGTTATGAACAATAGTGGACTGCATGCAAGGAATCGTTGCTTGAGAGTGAAGAATTAAATGACCAAAATTGTAGCCTTGGGTCTTGTGATACATTCTGGGATAAAGGGAACTAAAGGCAAACAATAGATTGTAATGTTTTAAAAAGGACGAAGAAATGTTTTCAAAAATTTCTGAAGCTAAAAGTAAGTACATTGTTTTATTTTTACCAGGATCCTTTAGATCGTGAACTTTGGGAGAAGCTTGAAACCACTGGTGTTTTGCACAAGCACCTTATCGACAGAGTATTCAAAGATAATTTACAAGGCAATGGAAACAAATCACTACAGCAAAGTGTTTTGCACATGATGGAGATGTACGGCTTTCTTGCACGGTTTTGTCCTGGCAACCATTCAGACACAGAAGCGACAGAAGAGACCAAGTACTTTGTGCCAGCGCAACTGGGAAAGTCAGTGGGTGACCTGTGGTCCCTTACACCACAGGAAAGTGATCCATGCCCACTTGTTTTTACGTTCTGTGGTGGATTTGTCCCCCATGGTTTGTTTCCACAACTTGTTTTGCGTCTTATTGCACGATCCTCGGAGCTGAAGTGTGTTCAAGCACCCAAACTGTATTGCAATGGTGCTCACATCTTTCTAGGTCAGAAAAGTGAATTTGATCTTGTTCTTCTTTGTAGTAAGCGCGGCATCAAGCTGGTGTTTAAATGTTATAAAAATGCTTCGACTAACCGGGAAGACCTGTCTACAGACTCTCCTGCCGTTAAAGTAAGAACTTTATTCGAAGAAGAACTGGAAAGCTTATGCAGACAGTGGCACTGTTTTGGCAATGTACGTTATGAAATTTGTGTTGTGTGCTTGGCGTGTACACGCAGTTCAAATGTCCAGTGTGAACGTCATAAATCAGCTTCATGTTCAGATCAGGACTGCTTGCATCTGCTTCCCATCACAAATGGTGAACCCGAGACATTATTGACCTGCCCTAAACAGGTTGGCGATGTGTCGAGATTCACATTGACTGGTCTTCACAAGTGGTATCCCTGTGTCAAATCCGAGGTGAGTATTATTTACTTAATGTCAGGTCTGGAGGGAAACATTTTTGTTTTCTGGAGTGTCCTAATATGTCCCGAGACGAAGTCGAGAGAAACATCAGGACTCTCAGGAAAACAAAACTAAAACTTTTCCCGAGGGAACTGACTAGTGTAAAAAGTGTACATGATACATACATGACATTCCTAAAAATGGGGTAAGAATAAAACCTAACAAATTAATACAAGGAAATGAATTATCAAAACTATTAACAATTAAAACTACTGTAAAATTCCGAAAATAAGCCCGGGGCGTATATTTTTCAAAGGCCCCTTTTAAGGGGTTTATATATGGAGAAAATTTGCGTTTTAAAATCGATTGGGCTAGCCCTATAGTTGAACGGAAATTTACCGTGTTTGCTTTGTTTTACTTTGTATTGGCGGGCAATTTCCAAGTACAAGCCCCCGGGGGGCTTATTTTTGGACGGGCGATTTAAAGGAGGTTTTTTTGCGTTATGAGTTTGGGGGGCTTATACATGGAGGTGCTTATTTTCGGAATATTACCGTATTGTCCATGATAAAAGGGTTTTGAGCCGACTAGGGTAATTATAAATAGCTAGGATAGCCTGGGATGGTATTTTATACAGTAAGTATTTCCATCCAAATTTATTTTTTTCGCAGAATTGAAGTGCGTTCCTAGGAAATTAGTATTTCCTAACATCTTATTTATAATCTTTTAAGCGCCCAACGAGGCTACCATTTATATATTAAAATTCAACGTAAAAGTGAGACAAAGGACTCGAATTCACCTGTTTATTTATACACCGATTTATTCATTTTGTTTGTGTCCTATAACCTCACAAAGGGTGAAGCGAAAATAGCCTATTATAGAATGGGTTTCACTTCTCTGAGTTTTCACAGGTTTATCGACCCCACTGCCGCAGTAAATTCCTGACCAGAATAGTCCAAATTACAGTTACAGGTGAAAAGGAAGCTTGAGTGGACCTTGTTTTGAAACATCCCTTCCTGCTTTATTATGAATTTAAAATCATGTTGTTCTTATGATAACTAGTAGTTTTTAAGCATGGTTTTCACTAGAAGAGGAAGGAGGTTTGTATTAGAACAAGGTCAACCACAGTCTCACGTTCACTCAAAGGCTTGGATACTAAGCTAATACCAGTAAAATGGACTGTACGCCACTTCCACATTTCCCATAATGCACCTTATATGCCTCCCAATTTCTCTTGTGACGGCTGTAAAACCCAGGAGAAATGAAAAACAAAAGGTATGCAAAATTCGGGGGGCAAATAAGGTGCATTATGGGAAATGTGGAAGTGGCGTATTAGCTTCTCTACGCAAGTCAAAGGTTTTGACTTTCGTAGTATCTGAGCGTGTTTTTTGCACGAGATACTGAAGTTAAATAAATTTTATCCTATTCACCTAAAATTAACTTCTATGTAATTTGAAGATTTTTTCGTTTCAACATAATCAGCCAGTCAGAAACCATATAAACGCTAAACGATAAAATTGCTTCGTTGATAACACGTCAAAGGGGTAGGACACGACAGCTAGTAACTGATTTGTGTTTTCGTCTTTTCTCAAAAGGAAAAACCTCACGAAAACCAACGCAAACTCCGAAAGGTTGCAGACATCGATATTCTCAATCTGGCAAGTGAAATCACGTCCCAGAAATGGAAAGTCATTGGACGAATCTTGGGTCTTACAGATCCTCAACTGGATCAGATAGAGATCAACAAGCAAAACGACGTGTACGAGCAATGTTACGAGATGCTGAAAACCTGGAGAAACAATCAGAGTTCTGCTGCAACCTGCGAACAGCTTAAAGAAGCATTGTGCCATAAAATTGTCATGAAAAATGAAGTAGCAGAACGTTTTTGCTACGCGGAAATTGAGTAACTGAAACAAATGTTTGAGAATCTTTTAGGGGTTTGATGAAGAGCTATACAGTTCTTTCAAAGCCGTTACCCTTATAAGCTAACCTAGGGATGAGGGATAATTTCATTCAAGTACTAATTAGACTACGGGTTGTCTCTCTTTTTTCTTAGCCCGTCGAGCGAAACGCTCGAGACACGAAAATGACCACGCGCGTGACGGAAGGCGCGAGACGGGATCGCTGCCCTCGTTTCTCGCGTCTGGCGGCTTCGCCGCTCAAAGCTCGCGCGCCCGTGCGCTCCCTTCGCTAAATCTGAAGAAAAAGAGAGGCTGCTCGTGGTCTACTAATAGGGAGCTTAAGCAACAGCGTTTTTGAGCGACGGACGTCAACCGGAAGTGGACTTTTTGCATCACTGGGGAATGATTTGGTTGAAACTCTGGGGTAAATCGTCTTTAAAAGAGAAAAGAAACTCAGCAATACAAGTTTGTTAGCGTCAAGGCATATAAAAAGGGAGAAGGCCTCACTTCCGGTTGACGTGCGTGCCTCAAAAACGTCTTTGCTTAAGGTCCCTAATAACGGGAAGTAGCCCCCGTCCCGCCCCGTCTTAAAAAAGTATCTGACTTGTGACTAATAGGCCATTTCCGAGTTGTCTCAAGCCTCTGTATCAAAGCGAGGCCATGAATCTCATGAAAATAAAGCTCATTTTCACAGGAAAGGGGTTTTCCCTTATCCTCGTTTTAAAAGTGAGAGTTTTGGAACTCGGAAATGGCTTATTTTTGTCAAAGTTCCTGGTTTCTTACTATTCAAATTGAACAATGTCTATTCTTCAACACAAGTAGAAACGCGAATAGAGTAGTGAGCCGTCTGATAGAAGGACAGAAATTCTAAGTCAGTTCGACAGCTCGTGTACAGTAGAATCCATATTTTTAAAAGATGTCAGAACCAATAGGCTATTTCTGACTTGCCTCAAGCCTCTGTTTTAAAGCTAAGGTAACTGCTTTTGATATGAAAGTGAGTTTTTATTCTCATTCAGATAAATGACATTTTCACTTAGCCTTAGTTTGAAAGCGAGGGTTTTTGGAACTCGGAAGTTACGTTTTTTCAGAATACGTAAAAGTGTAAATTAGTTATTAATAAAGAGTATAATTTCGTTGCTTCGCGGCGGGCCAGAAAAAATGCTCGAAATCAAGGCAGGTTGAGATTACTACTTTTATTGGTGTCCCACTTTTGCCTTCAATACTAAAAATGTAGACCGGTATATATATCTTGGTGAACAAAAGGCCTGTAATTATGAAAACTATCATATTATATGCTTTTAAATGGTGAATGGTGTCTAAATACTAAATGAAACGTGAACGTTTTAGGGGAAACATTAAACTGCAGAAAAGTTATTTTTATTCACACCGGTACCTCGACCTGACTACTCTTGGTTCCTCCCAACATGTATGTACGTCAAAGGAAATCGTTGTTTCGAGTCTACCTACATCCTCCATAAAACGTTAAATTAGGTAATTTCACGTTGCAGTCGGGTGATGACGACGGAGAAATGTACGAAATGGTGCAAGTGCGGGGTTTAAGGCTGGTTTTCACTAGCGTTGGACGCCGTCGGAGTCGGAGTAGTAAGCGGAATCGTAAGAGCGCTTATGACCTAGTGAAAATCAAGAATCGGAGTCTTAAGCGGAGTCATAAAAAGTGATGGGGGAGCGAGGGGGTGGGGAAGAAGCCCCAAAAAAATTTCCCCCTGGAAATTATTAATAAAAAAATATTCCTAAGGATTCTGGCCAAAAAAATATATGCCCAAGGAGGAAAAAAATCCCTAGTCTACATAAAATCTTCAACCAACTTTAAAACTTTCAATCGTGCCAAATTTCGTAACGATATCTGCAATGAGAACTGGGAATTTTTGGCTCCAGCTCTTGATCCCAACCAAATGTGGACAGAGTGGAAAACCAAATTTTTACAAATTGTTGACAAACATGCTCCAATTCGAATTAAGCGCGTTAGATCTAAAAATTCTCCGTGGATTACTGCTGATTTGAAAGAACGCATGCATAATCGTGACACATTAAAGATCAAAGCAATCAAGTCGAATGATCCGCACGATTGGGCCAATTTTAAAAGAATGCGTAACAAAGTTAATACTGAAATTAAAGCTGCTAAAGAATTATTTTACAACAATAAGTTTACTGAAACTAATGGCGACCAGCGTAAAACGTGGCAAATCATCCACGATCTTACATCTCGTAAAGCCGCTAATTTATCGATTAGAGAAATAAATCTAAATGGTACTTCTATATCTGAACCATCCGACTTGTCGAATGCTTTCAATGATCATTTCTCATCAATAGGACCTAAACTTGCTAATGACATCCCATTATCTAATAACAATGACCACTGCCATCGGAAATATGTCAAAGGCATTAACAATAGATTCGAGTTCCGCCCTACTGATAGTGGACAGGTTTTAAAACTACTGAATAAACTAAATGAGTCTAAAGGAGCTGGTCTCGATAAACTATCAAGTCGGCTTATTCGTGAATGTGCTGACCTTATTTCACCATATATCTCGATTATTTTTAATTGCTGTTTAACTACCGGCACATTCCCTGATGTCTGGAAATTAGCCAAAGTTACGCCTATATTCAAGCAGGGCGATAGAAGTGATATGAACAATTATCGCCCAATTTCTGTGATCTCAGCAATAGCAAAAGTCTTCGAGAGAATAGTTTATAATCAGCTTTCTTCCTATTTATCCGAAAATAATATTTTGTCAAAATATCAGTCTGGTTTTCGATCCTTTCACTCAACTGTAACCGCTTTGCTCAAAGCCACTGATAACTGGGCCTTTAACATAGATCGTGGCTATGTTAACGCTGTTGTCTTTTTAGATCTAAAAAAGGCATTTGACACAGTCGATCACTCTATTCTATTATCCAAACTATGTTTATATGGAGTCAAAGGAATTGCCTACAAATTGCTTTCTTCTTACTTAGAAAATCGTACGCAAAAATGTTCTGTCAATGGTGTCCTTTCTAAAAGCTGCACTTTAACTTGTGGGATTCCCCAGGGGACAATACTGGGGCCTTTGCTGTTTCTCTTATACATTAATGACTTACCTAATTGTTTATCTAACTCGCAACCAAGAATGTACGCGGATGATACTCACCTAACATATGCTGACAATGACATCTGCTCCCTTGAGGCTTCTTTAAATCAGGACTTGTTAAATATAAACAATTGGCTCATTGCCAATAAATTGACTCTCAATATGACTAAAACTGAATTTATTTTAATCGGATCAAGACAAAAATGGAATAGTCTATCCGTTCTCCCAGACTTAGAAATTAATGGCACACAATTAAACAGAGTCGATTTTACCAAGTCTCTTGGTGTATTAATTGATGAAAATCTAACATGGAGTAATCATATCAACGCTATATCTAAAAAACTCTCTTCTGGTATTGGATCTATTAAACGAATAAGTAGCTGTGTTCCTCCTGCAACTCTACATAATATCTATCATGGGCTAGTTCAATCACACTTCGACTATTGTAGTGTTGTTTGGGGTAACTGTGCCAAAACATTATCTGACAAATTACAGAGACTTCAAAATCGTGCTGTCCGCGTCCTTACCCATTCTAGTTATGATGCTGACGCCAACCAACTGCTTAAAGAAATAGGCTGGGACAATTTAGAAACTCGACGTCAAAAACTAAAGGCTGAGATGGTTTACAAGTCCTTAAACGGCCTCGCACCGAATTATTTGTCCTCGAAATTCATTCAACGGAGTGATGTGATTACTTCTTACAATTTGCGCGATTCTGATAATAAGCTTGCAATACCATTGCCGCGTACTAACCATTACAAAAATAGCTTTGCCTATAGTGGTGCAGTCCTGGAACAGTCTACCCTCAGCTGCTAGGCAAGCAACATCTCTGACTAATTTCCGACGATTCTTAATTAATTCCGACACGGCATTCATGTAAAACAGGCTTTAGTTTAGTTTACTTTTCCTTAATAGTTAGCAATATTTTAAATTATAGAATATTAATCTGTATACATAGTTTCGTATTTAAGTTGTAGCTTTATATTAAATTGTTAATACCTGATGTATTTACCGTGTTTTTAAATAAAGATGATGATGATGATGATGGTCAGTTTCCTGAAAAATGATACCCTCTAGACCCAAAGGCTCTGATTTATATACCCTATCCTACAGTAAACTGCTTGAAAACCATACCCTTCACAGCGACATGGCACATACCTATATTGCCCACATATGGCAGTAACCCACCCCCCGCCCGGGGTCCATCCCTAGCGTTCTCATATCGGTCTTCGTCGCGGTTGCTTCAAGGGGGGGTACGTCACACCATTTGCTATTTTTAAAAAAAAGCCAAACCTTGTCTTAACATCAATTGAATTCCAACACTAACGTTAATGACATTGAAACTGTTTCCTGACATCTGTTGATACAGATGGACATGGATTGAAACTTGAAAAAATCGGGCCAGCACTTAATTATCAAGTTTTAATCCTATGCTCCACAAAAATCACCAAAACATTATTATGGTTAGCGCTCTTCCGTGAAGTTTGTTTGATATCTTCTTCATAACTCTGCAGGAGCATTTTGTGGTTGGGTTAAGGTACTAATTGATGACCTCCCTACTGTCAAGCTACGTGCAAACGGCCCGGGGGGGACTCCCATATGAAAGGGGCGGGGATGCTCGTCGAAACTTTTGAATTAAACCCCTAAAGGAGACCAATCTGGGCGTGGCCCAGCCTTTTTTTGACCCCTAAAAGAGACTATCTTAAACTCTGATTACATGAATCGAGAGAATGAAACTAATTGAAACTATGTAATTTTTTTATACTTCTTGGCGTGCAACCCTAAAAGAGACCTTTACGGCTAAATATATTGGTGTTTTGCCCAGATCACCCTAAGTGAGACCAAAATCCGAAATTTTTACCCTAAAAAAAGCGAGACAAGCATCCCCGCCCCTTTCATATGGGCGTCCCCCCGGGT